CAGGAAATAGTTGAACAGTAATTTAAAAACAAAAACTGTAAACAGATCTAGATACTGTTGGTGTCTAGACCATGAACTCAACACTGGAAAAAAAACATTAGCAGGTTTCTTCATCCACGTAGGTCTAAATTTGTTAAGACATTTTTACCATTGGCCAACAGTAGCGACGGCACAACTTACGTGATGACAAAAAAATTAACGGTAAAAACAAAGGAGTGGAACACCCCCAGATTGTACGTAATGGACAGAGAAACACACAACAACCCACAGATTAGCGTGCACACTCTCAAAACACAAAAGCTAGCGCAACTTTTTAACAAAGTCGTTCAGTACACGAAGGCTAGCCACAGCCGTTACTTGAAATGAATTATTTTGAACCACGTGAGACAAGAATGTCCGAGATGAAAACCGAGACTTGCCAGTCGCTTTCTGTTGCCATAGAAACGGATGAAGCTTTATTCTCCCTCCTCTTCCCAGTCAGTCCCAGTGGTATCATTTTAACGACAAAACTCAACAATTTAAACGTGAGCTGCCATCAATTTAATTAGCAGAGTCAACTTCTTGCTAAGGTGGGGGGGGGGGGGGGTAAAGGGGAGGGACCCGGAGTAAGTCCACCCAGAGAGAAAATGTCTAAGAAACGCTCTACTATGTTGTTTGTCATGCGGTTATGTCGATGTATAGTCCCCTGCAGTCGTCTTTACCTATTTTAAGGACTGTCGGTAGCATCATTGGTTTTATTGTTATTCTAATCCGTTTAAACACAAGCGAACCAGCTGATGCTCTACTTGCAGTGGCGAGTTTCAAGTTGCAACCCAATTGTTACAATTGCTATCAGTTTCGGGCTGGATGTGTTCATTGCGGTAGTACATGTCCATTGATTCCACACGAAATTTCTAAACACTAAATTAAAAAAAAAGCCGTTTACACTACCGTATAACCCCCCCCCCCCCCCCACCAAAGCCTAGACATGAGCTTCAAACCACTAAAGTAACAACACAACTACAGAAGTCTTGGGATCCTGAAACTGGGATGTGTGTACAACACCATTAAGACTGTTTCACTTTCAGTTCTTAATTCGCATGTTTTTTTTTGTACTGATGTTTAGAGGAACACTTTTTAATAAGACGATAAACAAGCTAGCAAATTACACCTATCTGTAATCTTTCTGGGTACGTTTTGATCCACCTGTGCTTGTAAGTTCAACACACTAATATGACCACCATTATTACTACATCAACTTTTTGTATCGAACATGAAAGAGTTACTGTTGAGAGAGATTCCTATGATTGGGTCTCTAACATCAAAATACGTTTTCAAAATATCTGTGGCATTATTATTATTATTACAAACTGTCAACCAAATATCTAATTTACAAGAAAAGTCATTTATAACCCAGCATTATGCACTGCTAACGTAATCTATCCAACAGCCACTTTGCTAGAACAAAATATGTGTTATCCCCTTCTACTCATCCCCAGACACAGGATTTCATTGGCAAGACAGAAAACATAAGTAGACATTTCCTGTTGGCTTGAGAGGAACCAAGTTGCTGTGTTTGAATAAGAAACAATGGGTAAGACAACACTTTATTCTCTCACTCAATATGTGGGACCCGATTTGCTCACCATATGTGTGAGAGTTGATTCACTCACCAGATGTATGAGAGTTGATTCACTCACCAGATGTGTGAAGGGTTGGTTCACTCACCAGATGTGTGAGGGTTGATTCACTCACCAGATGTGTGAGGGTTGATTCACTCACCAGATGTGTGAAGGGTTGATTCACTCACCAGATGTGTGAAGGGTTGATTCACTCACCAGATGTGTGAAGGGTTGATTCACTCAACAGATGTGTGAAGGGTTGATTCACTCACTCAACAGATGTGTGAGAATTGATTCACTCACTAAACAGATGTGTGAGAGTTGATTCACTCACCAGATGTGTGAGGGCTGATTCACTCACTCAACAGATGTGTGAGGGCTGATTCACTCACTCAACAGATGTGTGAGGGCTGATTCACTCAACAGATGTGTGAGTTGATTCACTCACTCAACAGATGTGAGAGAATTGATTCACTCACCAAATATAAGAGATTTGATTCACTCACTCAACAGATGTGTGAGAATTGATTTACTCACCAAATATAAGAGAGTTGATTCACTCACTCAACAGATGTGTGAGAATTGATTCACTCACCAAATATAAGAGAGTTGATTCACTCACCAGATGTGTGGGACCCGACTCACTAACTCAACATGTGAGACCTGATTCACCCTCCAAATATATGACAGCCCATTCACTAACCTGACAGTGATTACTAAAAAAGACCTGATTCGTCCACAAGATAAAATTCAATGAGACTTGATTCACCCACCAGGCAAGCTCTAGAGCTAAACTTGACGCAACACCTGACTGGTTCAACAGAAACAAATACCTAGTAAAACCTTATTCAACATCCAGATTAAAAAAGCAAGGGGAGGTAACAATCCACACAGCAGAGACCAGATTCAATGAAGAAACACTTCCAGCCTGATTCATATTTAAATAGGTTGATTAAATAGCAATAGGAGTATGATGAGGCATAGTTCCATCATTCTATAATAAGCACAAGCAGATTAAGATGTACCATAATCATAACTTTAAAAAAAAATCCAGAGTGTGTGTTGCTTGAATTTTTTAGGTTGGGTTACAAGTCCCAACTATCACTGTTTAAATTTTTGTTGGCCATGAACACAAATTATAGATTTTTGAAAATGAACTATTTCACTTACTACAGTCCTTAAATCAGTTACTTTGTGTATTAAATGAGGTGTTTAGATTTCATTGTGGTGGGTGTTCTATTCTTTGCAATGAAACAAAGTTAAATAAAATGTGACAATATATTAAATTTAATAGGCCTAGCCCTACTGTACCAAGCATCTGATAAAAATATTTTTTTTTAGGTCAAATAAAGTTATTATGGGTAAATTATGACTACCGTTGACAATATACTATTATTAGGCCTAAATTAAGTAAGGCAATGGGTCTATTTAGATGGCTAAAAAAATAGTACTATTACAATTGGTTGTGTATGCAACTGCTGACGTTTGTTATCTGCAAAAAGGTTAAGAACCACTGAGCTAAGCCTATTAGTAAATTATTCACTATTCAGATGTAAGATGAATAACTTCAGTAGGCTTAATAATAGTAGATCTATCTTAACATCTTGATCTATTCTTATATTTAGGATATCAATTAGAATGAGTTAGTCCTACTGTGTCCACCCCCAAGTATTTTAGTAGCTACAGCTAGACTTTAATACACAATAAACTAAAAAATCACTATCAATCATGTACATGTTACTACTAACACTCTAACACTAACTAAGAAGTATAAGTAAACTGTGTAGGGTAGTCAATCTCTTCTAGTATTGTGTTCTGCAGTTTATTATTTAAGTAGGCCTATAGGCCTACCGACTATGAATAATTAGATCTAGGCCTAATGATACCTAGACTCCAATTAAGTAGTAGTAGTGGACGAACTAAACTATCTTACTTTACTTAGTCTACTGTTATAGTATTAAGTTATTATTAACTGTATGCCTATACTATTAGGCCCTACTGTTATTTCATTCAGTGTTACAATGTAATGACAGTAGTGTTCTGTACTCAAACTCAACTGTTAGTGTTTATTATTGTTGGCAGTGATGAGTGTGTTAGTCTTTAAAAGTCTAGCTGGACTAGGCTTTAAACTAAAACTTTTGAAATGCTTATAGGCCCTAGATGACTGGAAGAAACTCTGGGCCTAAATCTAGATCTAGCAAGTTTAGTAAAAGTTTAGTTTACTCAAGCCAAGACTCAAGTTTAATAAATAGTTTACCTTAAATTAAAAAAAAATAAAGACTCTAGAATCTAGTCTTCTGTCTTCTTCTTGAATAGTTGCATACTAGATCTATTACATACATACTACATAATAGTACATTATATTTATAACATAGATCTAGATCTAGGTCTCTCTAGTATCTAGCAGTCAGTCTTCTTAATAAAATTATTTTATTAAAATAGTAGGGGCCTACTTCACTTTTTTAAGCTTAGCTAGCTAAATCTATAAGTATAAGTCTATATAGACTATAATAGTGGTCATAGCTGTAGGTGGTACTTTTACTTTTTTATTAGGCCTACTTATTACTACTTAACTTTTTACTACTTTTGGCAATTTTATCTAGATCTAGACTAGATCTAGATATCTACTATCTAGAACCTAGCTCCTAGATCTAATCTAGATATTCTAGATCTTATTCTAGACTAAACTTTTGGTAATCTATCGTTTTGGGTACGTAAAATCGCCCGCGGCTTCTAATGTACGAAAAAGTTACCTCATTGTCAAGGTTTTAATAGAAGTATATTTTGATATATTTGTGTCAAATATTATAGATAAATGAATAATAAACCTAAATCAATAGCTAAATATATCAATATAGACAAGAAATTAACTTTAAACAGCAGTGTTTACGAACAGGATTTCCTATATACTATATAATTTATAAACAGCAGCCATTTGTAAAATAGAGTTGCCTTCCCCTGAATCTTGCGCTATTAGTTAACAAAGAAAGAACTTAAACAAGATGGCTGCTATAGTAAATGAGCGTGGTTGCATCTGTTGGAAACATCGCTAGTCTTCATTTATTATTGAAAAGTTTTAATTCAATTGTTTGAAAACATGTACATAAATGAAACAAGGAAACATTTTTGTATTTTTCAAAACATGAATTCTCCTCAAAATGTGAAATACTTATTAAAATTTAAGGAGTCACCTGTCTTTCACATTACTAGTCGCGGGCGATTTTACGTACCCAAAACGATAGATTACCAAACTTTTTGATATAGAGTCTAGATCTAAAATCTAAATCCTAAGAACTAATATAAACTTACAACAGTAACAGTTCAGTTAGTTCTAGTCTAGTAACAGTAAGTAATTATTTACAAAAAAAAATAATAATTCAACATCAACAAGAATCTTACCTGAAGCTCGTATTTATAATAAATGAAACACCTTTTAAAGTTTCTGGGCTACTTCCCTAGCTGGCGCTACCTGGCGGAAGTCAAAACAGGCTACGGTGTTTTCTTCTTTTTAATTTTTTAGCCTATAATCTGTATTTTAAAATTAAAATTGTATACAAATAATTTAATGTGTTGGTTATGAATGAAGATTTCAAATATAAGTAAGACTTAAGTTGCACAATTTTTGTTGATAGAATCTAGATTCTAGTTAAAATCAATTACTTTCGGTATTATGTTATTCCTAAACTCTATAGATCTAGCAAAAGCACTAGTAGCTTCCTAGTTTTTAATTAACATTTAGTAAATGCCAATTTGTATTTTTTTTAAACACACATCTGAAATTTATTTAATGTAGATCTAGAATTACTGGAAAAGAGTTCTAATGTGATTTATTTTAAATGTACAATGGGAAATAAAAGAAAATACGTATTAAGCAGGACAGCAAGCGATTAATTACTATCTTCATTATGAGAACGCATGTTTCCGATATAAGAATTCTCGACATAAACAGAAGTAATAGAATAATTTTAAAATCATGGACACCAGGCTAATCACACAGCATAGTTTTAGTAATTTGAAATTTCCAAACTTTATTTTTTAGTTTTGTTTATAAAAATTGTTTCCTAAAGCATTTAAAAAAAAAATTTCTTTTCTATAGCTTTTTATTTGAGTACTATTTTTTAAACAGTACATGTATGATTTTATCGTAACAGAGGACCTATTTAGCCTAGCATTTAAACTACTTTAATATACACAATAAAAAAAAGAAAACGAATAGGGGTTTAGATATTGACTATAATATATTTATTATATTAGTATGTCAGCTTTGTCTCAGGTGTAAACAGACAATTGTCTTTTGGGCCTCCGTTCCTGTAGTTCCTTGCCAGCCGTACCTGGCACAGTCATCCTAGTGCATTTGTTTACATCGCCCTTGGCTTAGGAAGTACTAGTTTAGTATAGTATAGCAATAAAAAAAAAGTCAGTACTGAAACTCAGTCTAAAACCTTGACTGGCCCCGGGCGAGGGGGGCGGAAAATAGGTGTAGATCCATATTATTTAAGATTCCAAAATGGGAAGAAAACTAAACGGTGTTTGCTGGTAACACAGTCAAAGACTACAAGACGGAAAAGTACTAGTATTGAATTTGTACTCATGAATAAATTCTGAGTTCAAGATCTAGAATCTAGTCATCTAGAAATCTATCAGTTTTGTAACAACCGGCAACACGTCACACATACTGACTGCGGCACTACGGCCATTGACTTCATTCATACTTTTAAAAAATAGTATGGATTATATAACTTAACTTTAAATTATTATAATTTATTTGTTGATTTAAAGTTCAAAGGAGAATGCAATAAAATAAAAACTAGACCTAGGGATGATTTAATAAGCCTTAGGCCCCTAGGCCTATTTATTATATTATTTACTAATATTAGTTGTTAGGCCTATAACTAACTATACTATAAGTATAAGGCTATAGGCTAGGCCTACCTAATTAATTAATAATGACTCTTCAGAAATTAATCACGTCTAGAAAATACTAATTAGGCATTCTGTAGGGTTTGCAGTGGATTTTTCTTTATGGCACAATAGAATGTTGTTGAAGAAGGTGATCTTGGTTAAATGCAAAGTGGCGAGGTGGTAAATTGCGAGAAGAAAAAATGCGAGACATACCTGCGGAATCATGGGTCAATACTCAATAGGGAGACGTAATTAACAAGACATTTTCGCTTCATGCTTTTAGATTTTTCTCTAGATGTGCAAGAGATGTAGATGTGTTATGAGTGTTTTTTTAAATTTGTTTTTCTATATCTAAAATCTGGGTCTTGATTTTTTAAGAGACAAAAAATTATGCCAATTCTAAACATCGTTGCTCCTATGATCGCCTGCTCACGTTTTCTTGTCAGTGGGAGAAAAATCCCATCTGGTCTTTGAGTTCAGATTAATTTCGATAGCAGTAGGCCCAAGAGCATACATCTTAGCATAAACATTGCTATCTAAATTAGGGACAATGTTACGTTAGTCTTTCCCAAAACCAAGTAGGCTAACATGAAAAAACTTATTTGGGGTCTCTGTGAGTTCATAAAGAGAATAAAGCACATGACATAAAATTGAAGTAAAAACAGCAATATTTAACAACAGGCCTATTTTTTTTTGAAAAATATCAGGGGAAAATTTAGGATTGATATAAAATTAAAAAATTATGTCAAAAGGAAGAGAAAAATAAGTATATTTTCCTTAGGCCTAAAGTAACATATTTAAATTATAAAATGCAGTTGGCTCCGTATGGGCTGTTTCAAATGACATGTTATTCAAATTCAACACCATAGAAAGAAGTTATTCAATCATAGACAAATTTCATGGGTGGTAAAAATTGGAAGATCAGATTTATTGGACTTGAAATGCATTTGAGGTCAACACCTACATTATTATAAAAACAACTGAAATAAAGTTACTAAAAATAAATTAGTCTATATTAAAATTAATATATTGTAAATCATCGGCATGTTGAATGGAATTCGGGTGTAGTAAGATTTTGAGAAATATCAGCGTTATTTCTCTATACGATGCTACTAATCAATTGGGGGTAAAATGCCGTTTTCTTAACCTTCTTTCAATTTAACGCCTTGCCATTTTGTGATTCACATCTTGCATTTTGGCAAGACCCTAAAAAAGACCTACTAATGTCAATGCTACCAGTAACTGCAAACTTAGTCCTACCATACGTCTAACCATAATTCCTAACCATATACATATAGAATCTAATGTGTGGTTATGAAGCCAAAGTTTTAAATTATTTTATTTCTTATTCATTTATTTGGTAACTTTAAATTAAATGACCTACATTGCCAAAAATTGAGAAGCAGGTTAGTCTTCAGTAATTATAATTCCACTACTTCAGAATAATTAACACAAGAATAGTATAAGTATGGGTGTTTCATATACAAATACAATCAAGTTTTAAGGAAATCTATAAGCCTAGGTCTGTTTTATATGAACATAACATATTAACACCTAAATTATCATATATAATTGTTGTGTTGAATCATTATCAGTAATATATAGACCTACCAGTAAAAGTCAAAACATTTGCTGTAACAAACACATTTTACAGGCATACATAGTTACATTTTGTCAAATTATAATAAAACTGCAGTGATCCTGTTTAAAAACATACCAGCTCAGTGAGTAATCATTCCACATTCAATAAAAAAAAATTCATTATAGTTATACCACTCCTGTCAGTGAGTGATGAATGGAACAACTAGGATCATGAACCTGTGATGATCTAATGGCTTATTATAATACTATGTACAACAACAGAAAAAATTCTTTAAAAAGTATTCTTGTTTCCATACAAAAATACATTTTAATACTCAGCATGAATCAGTTTTTGTTTGATAAGAAAAATCATTAAGTCCACAAATAATAAATCACTATATAAATTATTAGAAACATGAGGTTATTGAATTAGTATATTGGAAGTATGAGAGGTTTATTAATGTTAAATTTCTGTGGATGACAGCAAAAGTAATATAATCCAACTTGTTATTTCAGCTTCCCACTGAACTACTAAATCATGGTAACCTTCCTTCCAGCCTCCTTGACTAAGGAGGAGATTCCAGTTCTGTTTCATGAGCCTCATGTTCTTAAAGGGTTTAGGCAGTTGCATTATCCATGGCATTCTTACTTCTTAAGCATCTTCCAGGTTGGTTACATTTATTTTTTTAGGATTTGAGCTGAATACAGAATAATTAGATAGCACTTTACAAAATCTGTTCTTTTTTTTGTTGTTTTATTTTAGTCAGCAACATACTGGTATGGATAGATGATGGATAACTATTTCTGGTTATCTACAAACGACAGTCACATTTATTTTTTATTCCTTACAGTGGCACAATGAACTGTTGAACATTTGGACCCATTTGCTGGCACTGATCATGGTGTTAATCAGGGGAGGGATGTGGTGGATGGAGTTTGATTTAATATCTGATCCTTACATGTGGCCTCTCAGTGTGGGAATCATCACCATGATTATACTGTACATGTGTAGCTCTGGTGCCCACTGTTTACAGAATAGGTAGGTCTTTTATGTTAGACATTTAGGTAGATATATAAATTTATTCTGGCTTTTTAAAGACCTTGTTAAAGAGTGTATATGTTACGTTTAATTAGCAGCTGCCACAAAAATTGAACTATTTGCCTTTTCCCTACCCCTTGCATGTCCGACATTTGTTATTGGATGATTTTAATTGTGTTTGTAATAGTGTAATTCTTCATGTAATTGAATAATCTTTTAAACTTTATACGTTTATGTTGAAAATACTTTGCCATCTCTGCCAAAGTCACTTTGGTCACTTTAGGTGGTCAAATGGCCAAGACAAACAAATAACAAGTTGCTTGGAAATTAATTAATAATACTGTATAAACTGACCATTGTCACCAGCAATGGAAGGGCTTTGGCTGTAGAAGGTGAACAAGTTTTAGAAATTTGTAAAAAAAAATTATATCCGAAAGTGTTTTTTATTTACCAGGTACATTCTATGTTCTAAAATCTGTTACTATAAACACAGCGTGTTTCTAAATCTTAATATTTTGGTTTACAGGTCAGAGTTGGTTCACTACACCTGTTTTATGTTTGACTATGCGGGGATCGGACTGTATGGCTTTGGTAGCACCATGCTCCATTACTGGTATTGTCTGCATGAGAGTTTTCTTGGCTCTCTTTCACACCAGGTGAAGGACCATTTTTTGACATCTTATACATTTTTATTATTTTAGCTGAAAGAATAGTAATAATTCTTTAATATTTTAGATAACAAATAATAGTTTTAAAACAGAACTAGTGTCCTCAGTATAATTGTTTTACAAGATTAAAACATGTTTAATGAATGTATAAAAATACTTTTTTTTTGTAATACTCAAAGCATTAGACAACAGAATGCTCATAACATTTATATGAAAATATTACCTTCAGTGTTACAATAGTATTTACTCTTAACAGAATCTATCCTCTTATCCAGTATTATTGCGGTTTAAAAAACCTATTTTTTACCTTGTTTCTTCAGCTGGCCATACCAGTGGGGGCAGTGTTGGCCCTCCTTGTCTGTATCTGCTGCTCTATATCTAAAACAAAATACAAACGTCCCTACCCTTTCACCAGGCGCATCTGGCAGATGTCTTCAGTTCTCTCCATTTACATATGGTTAATTTTCCCTATTTGGTAAGTATGGTTTGTGTTTTTAAATTGCCTTGGTTACTCAGCGTTTACACTTGTGGCATGTACTCTATACATGTCTAGAAAAAAACTTCGCAATAAGTGAGTAGCTTCCCCAACACACACACAACCCCGCCCCGCAAATGCATGTTCTGATAAAATTTAGTTATAATAATAGTAATATTTTTTCTAGACGTGTATAGTATACATATTGCAAGTGTAAACGTGGCTTTGGGTTTTTACTGATTTTCCTATATTCATTATATTCAAGATAAAACTGTTGGCGTGACATTTGTTTTAATAATAGAAATAAAACTTGGGGTGCCTCTTTATTTATTTCTTTTGTAAGCAAACATGCAAAGATCTGGGGTGTATTTGTGCTTGTTCATTTGTATTGTGTTTCCAATGCTAGGTACAGAATTTGGCTGTTTGTACGTAATGGTGCATGGGAGGCAAGCTTTAAGCACCACCTTCAGCAAATGTTTTGGTTCACTCTTGGAGGTTTCTTCTTTGGCTCTGACATTCCTCAAAGGTTTTCTCCTGGTAAGTTAACTGTGGGCATGTGAGGAAAGTTTTGTTACAAAACATTAATAAGCATTCTGCATCTAAATATCTGTTATTTTGATAATTCAGTAATTTCTGAATTTTGTATAACGTAATGAATACACTGAATTTTGATTTCACTATTTATGACATTTATTAGAAAAAGTGGTGTGTTTCTAAAAGATCATTAAAATTATATTTTTTAAAAAAAGTTTACTTGTATGGTTTTTAAATACTTAAAAAAAGTAGAATATAATTTCTATCATGTATATATTGTAGGTTGTTAAAGAAAGCCCATTCATAATTTTATTTAAACAATCAATAACAGGTACGTTTGATATCTTGGGTCACAGCCATCAACTGTTTCATATGTGCATATTCATGACGACATATGAACAGCTGAATGCCCTATATTTGGAGATAACAGACAGTGTTGTGGTCCATGAAATGGAGGCTCCGACATTTCTCAACACCTGGGGGGTGCTTGCTGCTGTCATCGTGGCTAACGCCTTTGTCGTGTACTACTTCCACACATCTGTTTGTGCCAAGCTGGAGAGGGAGCACAAGGAACAAGAGGAAGTTGGGGGAGAGGAAGGCTCAAAGGATGCTGGCCAATGTTGTGCTACTGGTGGGCTGGTGAACGGCACCAGCACCCACCTCCGCCAAAGGAATGGCATCGGTCATGCTGATTGTCATTAACCTCATTAGCTGCAATTTTATTTCTTCTTTCTTTTTTTTTTCCTGATACCTTAAACAATAACAAATAATCGGTACTATTAAAAGATGTTAACAGTCTAAATTTTTTTAAAAACTTGTATACAAATGAACATAAGGCATACAAATTCAAGAACAAACAACTGGCCTACTTCTATGTTTACTGACATTGTATTTTAATTTTTTTTGATTAGCTAAGATCTCCCTCACTTTATCTTATTATTTAATTGATGATGGAGTTTTACACAAGTTGAATTTAATATTGATTGTGAAATTAAGTTTGCACCTGATATTCAAAGATAGTAAATTTTATATCTACAAAATTTTAAAAAAGTTTATAATGAGAATAATTTTACTAGTCTTGGATCAAGAGTGGGATCTGTGTGGTGTTATCCACACAGAATATCTGCAAATATTTTGTATTGCTGCCTAGTTAGCTTTTCTGACACAATAGATTTTTAATAATTTTTTAAAAGAATCTCTAGTCTTTTTTGCCACTTTACTTAGTCTAGCTTAAATTCAATTAGACTCATACAATTTTTTTCTCTTACAATTAAAGCACAAAATTCCCATTTAGAATTGCATCATGGCACTCCTGCAAATGTTTTTAAAACCCAATAAAATTTTAAAATAGTCTGTTGATATATGTTTTTATAAATAAACCCCACTTCAGACAAAATAATTTCTGCAATGTTTTTTTAGATGTTTATTTGATCATTGCTGATAATTATGGATTGCCCCCCTCCTCCCCCCTTTAATGTACCTAACCCATTAAACTTAAAGTGCCTGTCTTGCAATGTTGCTGTGCAGTTTTCTTCCACGTTTCCCAGTAATTTAATTGCTGATTTAGAAATAAGATTTCTTATTTGTTAGCTGAAGGCACAATCCTGGCTTAGTTTTAGCAGTTAAAAAATTCCAGCACATTTTAAAAATTAAATTTCTTTTCATTATGTATTAAATTTTGATTCTGTATTGGCTAATGTCACACATTTTTCACATAGTTGATAGTATCGTGTTACAGCAGTTATTTAGTAATAAAATATGTTGAATCCTTTGGGATTATAACACTTGTAGTTGACACATCTTTGGTGATGTCACATTGTTTAAGGTGATCAGCTTCACAATAATTTTTTTACTGGTAATTTCATCAGGGTTTTCTTTTTTTTTTTATATTGACAAAATTTTTTTTTCAAAAATAATCAGCAAACACTTTGTTAGTTCTGTCAGTAAAAAAAAAATAGATCTATTATACAAAAACTTCCCTTCCTTTATTCTAGGTATCTGTTCATCCTGTTCTGCAAAATCTTCCATTTCCTGACTTCCAATTGAATATTGTTGTACTGAAACTTTAGAATGTGTAATTTTTAAAGTTGAAATGCTGAAATAATTTTAACGAGGAAAGTTTTTATTGTTATAGACCAGGGGTGGGTATCCTTTTTTTTGTAGAGCCAATGTTAATAAATTATTTTCTGCCAAAAATGTATTTGAAAGTGCTAAAAGCTTAATTATAATTTGGAGGCAGTACCTGCATTAAAATATATGTTAAATGAAAATTTTTCCACTTTTTTCATCAATATTTTAAAATTAATTACAAAAAACCTACCATTTACAAAGAGCTTAGTTTGCTAAGCCCTGATTTAGACTAAATAATACAGCGTAAACATTTGAAATTTAGCTTTTAAAAAAAATGGTCCACATAAATTAGCAAAAACTGTAAATATTTTTTAATCAAGCTTTTTAAATTTATATTTTTTTAATAGAAGTTTTTTTTTTGGCATTGGTATTGCTATGTTTTAAATGGCTGTGATAGTATTCTTGAATGGGACCAGTCATATCTGTTCTGTGTCCCAAGATGAGTTGTTTTCTGTTGCTTATTCAAGGTGTGTTCTAATTTATTGTGAGGCAGACATATATATATATAATTGTTTACTTGTGTTGCAAACCACAGTATATCAAATTTTTTATAACATCACATTCAAATGTTTTTTTAACATACAATTGTTTTGAATTTGAATAAAATAGCTATCCAACCCTCAAGCAGTATTGTTTAAATATTATTAGTACATTTTCTTTTTTAATATAAATTATATGTAGTTAATTTTGTATAAATTGATATTGCCAGTGAATTATGTAAAATATATTGAGCCTTCCTCACTTATTAAATACAATTTTTAGTCATTGTTTTCTAAAAGAAAGTTAAACTAATTTCTGGAGATAATTTTTTTTTATTGTATGTTATTGACTGTAAGACAAGCTTATTTATTTATACTTTTTAAAATGGATCTAGTCCATCCAAGTTAATTCAGGGAAATATCAAGTTGCACTTTTGCTCTTGAGCTATGAGAACAAAACCACTTTCAATAAATGAATTTGACATGTCTCATGTAATAATATTGTTTGTAAAATGAGAATCTGAAATTAGAACTGTTTTTCCATTTGAAATCAATATTTTCTGCATCAAAATTTAGTTATTTAAAACTTTTTTTTTTTTGACATCCAGTATATTCTAATCAGGTAATCATAAAAGAAATAAAATCAATGTAACTGTGATTTTGGTGGCAAAGCAAAATGTCACCATTTATTATTTAAAATTTGTAAACCATAATATACATCTTTGGTATACAAGAATGCTATATATTTATATTTTCTTAGAAAACATTTTTAAAATTTGAGATTCGCTGAAGTTCCAAGTAAAAGTAACAAAAGAAAACAGCTGATCATTCTTCCTTGCTTCTTTATATTTCAAAAATTATAATTTAATTATCTTTTTTATTGTTTTTTTTTGCTATGCAGATTTTGATTTTTTAAAATAACTGCAACTTGTCAATTTAAAGAAAAAAATTGGTCTGCATTAGTTGTGTATTTATTTATTTGTTTTTGTTTATTTACTGAAACCCGGTGGTATGCTAACTCAATAAGTAGTTTAAATTTGAATTCTATTATAAAAAAACTTGAGTTTACAGGGCAGTAAATAGAAAACAGCAGTTTCTGCCTGGTGTGCCCTTTGATTAATAGCACTTAAAATAACCACTTTAAGTATTCTTAATTACAAATACACACTTTACTAGAAGTTGCAGTTTAAAATTTGTATTAAGTGCAATGATTAATGCTTGCTTATATACTAGAAATATCTTGCCTTGTTACAATTATCACAAAACTTCCTAGTTGATCAATCCAGCTGTATAAAATATATGACTAGCTGTAAATGTAAACCAACCTTTTTTTTTTTCTTTATTGAAACTTTCTTCTGTTGTTGCTTTTTTAATGTGATCCTGTGTTTACTTTTTTCATTTGTGCAAGTTAATATAAGAAACTGCATTGTACTCATGTTGTTTCTTTTATGAAATATTCTATTTTACATAATTAAAATGTCTTGTTTTATTCATTTTAAACAAGTTTGTAGTTTGTGGACGTTAGATTGAAGGATTTTTAATGTTGGTTTATGAACATAAGCAAAAGAGGTGTATAGTTTTATACTTTTTTTATATGCTAAAACATTTTTTTTTAGAAATAGCTTTTAATTACCACAGCTGTAAAATGTACTATCATGTGGACTAATACTCTAGAATTTTAACAATTTGCTGTTGTAGAGTTACATAACAGCTTTAAAGGAATATTTATTGAAGTTGAATAAATGTGATAGCATGACACAGCTTTTTAGCTTAACATATCTTTGAGCTTTAGATGTTTCACTAAATAGTTATTTGTCATTGAAAATTTTATCTTTTCATTGACAGTCTAGCAGTGAAAAGAAAATGCCATCTTTTTTAACTGAACAACATCTGCATTTGTTGGTTAGTTTGTTTTTTGAATCCATATTTGAACCACTTTTTCTACAGATAGTAACTGCTGTTTGTGAGTTTGAAATTTAGACTTGATATGGCTTGATTGAGTAGAGAGTTGGTTTCTTGATCAATTTTTATTAGATATTTATTCATGCTTAGAACAGTGTGAAATCTGCTTCACAAAGCTCTTGATATTTTATAATTGGCTTATTATCATTGTGTATATCTTGTACATGTATAAGAATTTACACATTTTTTTTTCAGAATAATTTTTCTTCCAGAGTAAAGTTTTTTTAAAAATATTAATTATAGTATTGATGTTCATTTTTATTCTCCTGAATTTTTTTTCATAATCAATGCTACAGGATTAGGGTACTAGATTAAGGGTAATTTTAAAAATAGACAGAGCAATTTTATCAACCTATTCAGTAGATTATTAATTTTATAAAACAAGTTGTATACATTAACAGTTGCTTGTTTTTGGCAGCCATTTTAATGATCACAATGATGCTGTATCACAATCAAAGCCAAGATAACTATTTTTATTTACATTTTTTTAATCCCCTTTTTTAAAAAAAGAAATGTTTTACACATTTTTAATTAGATTTTGATCATGTCTTGCTGATTCTTGTGCTCCTAGATATTTTTGTTGTTCTAAAGTGTAGTAAAATAATAGTTTATATGTGTGCTTTAGACAGTTCAAATGTACTTTTGTATGATAATTTTTCATTTAGCGTAAAATTGATGTTTCTATTGTTCACCCTGATATAGACCTTAGGTCGAAGCTTAATTTTGTTGTGTTGAATTTTGGAGGTTTCATGTAATTTATTTCCCCCCCCCCTTTTTTTTTATGTAGAAGAGAAAGTAAATATGTAGAGAGACAAGTTTTATTATTTGTTGCCTCACTGTTGATCAGTGGTAAAGGTTATTTAATTCTGCTATTAAATTCGTCTTTATCACACTTTTATTGTGTTAATGTTGTTTTATTTTTAACATTTAATTGCCGGTAGGTTGTTGAGAGTTTATGCTAGAAGACACATAATTATTTATTTACATTTGTAGGTCAGTTAAAGGAATCTTCCAAAAAATAATTTGATTAGTTTTTTGATTAGTTATTTTGTAATTCTGGTTTAAATTACACTGAACATTTGTAAACTTTCATACTTTAATAAAAGTCCAAGTTCTCTCACCACTTTGTTGTCAGCCTCACACAGTGTGAAACAACAGACCAAAAAATATCTAGATTGGAGGGATTAAAGCAAAGTCAAATTTGAACTCCCTTTTGATTTTTTGAAAGCATTATGTGTTGTAATGCCTTTCAAAATTCCAATGGTGGTAAAAAATAAAATGCATCACACCTGTCTGAACTATTGAACTTTTCTGACACCAACTCTGGTGATGTTGATTGACAAGATTACTAAACATGGGCTTTAATGACATCATGTATTTGGTAAAAAGTTCAAAGGTCATCTTTGTTGATATTAGACAAAGATGAAAGGGGAGAATGTGCTTTTAGTAATGGCATGCATGGGGGGGGGGGGGAGGACAGGAAGAGAGCGCGTACTAAATTTTCTGAGGTGGGGAATACTGGTACAATTATATTTTTTCTATATGAATTCTATTTGCTTCGAGGGGGGGGGGTACTGATCAGTACCTGCTTGAACAGAAGATCTAATCATTTAAATAATCGTCAGCTTAGGCCTACAAAATGCGAGAAACAAAGTATTGCAAGACTAGTCCCTAGCCTAGGCCTATCCTGTTTCGGAAACACATTCTGCCCGATACTGCATTGAAAGTATTTAATCAGAGCGAAGTATAATTTAAGAAACCGCGGACAATAAAGTAAAACATCTGCCAGATGATAAATAATCAATATGTGGCAATATAGATCTAGATGTCTAGTTCTTCGCATACAATGAATATATGAACTTTTACACTGGATCTCTTAGTGTGACAATGGTTTATGTTAATTCCTTCCACGCTTTAATTTTAAGACTGCTGACTGAAGTCAACTGGAGTGCATTTCTGTTGACTTGGTGTACAGTGTACTAGTTTACTTTTTATTAGTACTACTTTACACACACACACACACACACTTTACACAGTAACTTTACACTTCTTTACTCAGTTTACTTAACACTAATACACTTCACATGTTACATGTTACTAAACTACACAGTTGAGTTTAGTGGTCATCCATTTATAACGACCACAAGGGGGGGTGGGGGGGGGGGGTGGCGGCTGCGGAGTACTTACAAATGCAGCGCAGTCATTTTCTGATTCCGCGCACAGATCATCAGTTCCATGCAGAGTTTCTTCCAGGCATCTCTTCGGGGGGGCGAAGCCCCCGAAAATTTTTTACCGCCCCCCCCCCCCCGAACGAAATGAAATTTATATAATTTATATAGAAAATATATACTTTTAACAGTGTCCACCCCCCGAAGAAAGTTTACCGCCCCCCCCCGAAAATTTCTAGTGCCCCCCCCCCCCCCCCCCCCCCCCGGAGAAAAAAGTCTAAAAGAAACACTGGTTCCATGAGCGTGCCGAATTCGCTAGACAATTGTGTTCAGTGGCTATAATTTAGCAACATTTGTAGTGCCTATTTTGTTAAACAGTCTTTGTGTTTGTTTAGGGGCATAAACAGGAACCACGGGTATCATTGGTATAGATCTACTGTCTGAGTGATACTCCCACTGCTTGATTTAATAGTTTACCTCAAAACAGTGGCGTGCAGAGGGGGGGGGGACGGGGCCCCGGCCCGGGCATCCACTTCGAGGGGGCATCCAATGGAGTGCATTTAATTTTTTGTTTTTGTTTTTTTTTTTGGAAATTGTTTCTTTGAGTCATAATACGTTTTCATCTGCCTCAACAACAATTGCTGACTGATTTAATTTTTTTACCAACGCCACCCAAAACACATTGTCATTCTCAATCGTCTATCACTCGTTATGACATTCTATCTGTATAGCTCAACTTTTATGGAAAAAGCGGGCTTTAAAGTTTCTTTAATAAATGCGGTCTTTATATTAAAGTGTGTATCTGATATTTATTTTGTATAGTCTAGGGGCATCATTTAGAATACTTTTTGCCCATTTAATTCCTAGGCACTGAAGGGGCATCTTTTTAAAGTATTTAAAGTAATTATGTTCATATTCGTTTTACTACTTTTTAATGAGAACCTTAAAGTAATAATTATTATATCCATATATTTATATTTATACACTGCAGACTGCAGGGGCATCTTTGAAGTTATTAAGCTTATATTGGTTTGTTGTATTTGAAGGGCATCCATACAGTAACTATAACAATCATTATTTTATTTATTGTTGGGGGCATCTTTAAAGTATTTATGTATAATATATTCATTATAATACATTTTAAGGGCATCCTTACAATTTTTGGGGGGAATTTTTCGTAAAATAAATTTAAGGGCATTTGCAGATGAAGTAAGCGCGTATTATTTTTTGATAAATTGTAGGGGCACCCTAGAGAATTTATTCGGTTTTATGCATATGAATATACTAAAAAATAAGAATGTTCGTAAGCATCAATAGATTTTTTAAATATACATTGTAGTGATATCATTTCAAACAAATGTGCCCATATTATTTTTTATGAATTGTAGGGCATGCTAAAAGTTGTGTAAAAGGATTTTAAAGCAAAGTAGAGCAATCTGTAAAGTAAATGGGCTCTTAAATAGAACTGAAGTTATAAATGTTATAACACTTTTAACACCGTATGATATTATATATATATATATATATATATATATATATATATATATATATATATATATATATATATATATATATATATATATATATATATATATATATATATATAAAATTTATGGGGGCATCTTCCCTTGGGTTTGCCCCGGGCATCTACATAGCTCTGCACGCCACTGCCTCAAAACTGACAGGACATGAAAGGGATTGTGACTTGAAGCTGACCCTGCAAGGTGTTTCCATCGTCATCCCCTCCCCACCTCACCCTTAAATACTATGACGATTTACCAGTCAGATGCAAATTGTACGCTACTTTAGGTGGATGTGTTTTTTTTTCTGCTTGGTTTAAGGATTTATATATTATGTATCCGATTCTTGGGATTATTATAAATGCCTCGATGCTGTAGGTCCAACTGATTCATAACCACATGGGGAAGCATGCTTCTATACTAGACAGGAAGTATGTTTCTATACCAGTTGGTTAACTTGGTCTTTCTTCCAGACTTTCTTCTCCGGGGGTGGGGGGGGGGGGGGGGGGGGGGGGGGAGACGGGGACGATGGGTGGGGGGGGGGGGAGGGGGGGACACAGACTGAAGTTTCCAGGGGTGGCAGACAGTTAAAATTATATATTTTCTGTATAAATTCCATTTCATTTGGGGGGGGGGGGGGTGGGGGGGGGGGGGTGGAGGGAGGGGGGGGGGGGGGTGGACTTGCTTCAAAGAGATGCCTGGAAGAAAACTCTGGGTGAAGTAAGAACTACGCCTTGAGTTTGTTGAAGCAATCAACAAGGTGGTTGTAAAGAACATATTGACAGAACTTCAAGCAGCATCGTTCCACAAGCTTATAGTTGATGGAAGTACTGATATATCAGTACATACAATGCTAATCCTTTATTTTAAGTTATGTACAGTCAATTCTTTATTCTATAAAACAGTTTTTGGTGGAATAACTCAGCTTACTGTAAATGATGCCTTTGAAAATGATGCCTTATTTAAAAAAAATAATAAACAAGTTTATTGTTATTTACAACTTAAGTTTTGTACATTTATAAGTTTCTTTTTAATCCTTCTGTGACCTGCGTGGAAATATAAGCAATCCACCCTTGTCCCCAGATGGTATTATAACATAAGCAAAAATTTGAAAACAAATATCATTTAATACTGAAATAAGACCTGTTGCCTCAGTTACTGAAATAACCAATTTCTTTCCCTCCTATTTCAAATAGTTCCAAACACTTGTCCAAATGACTTTTGTGTTTATGAAATACATGTCATGGCTAACAAACACTATCACTTCCCAGCTCAAAACAGAACAAATGATTGACAGTATGGATAACAGAACACCACAACAATGTATGAAACAATTAGCCAGTGCTTGCTGGTGGTTTATTCTGGTGGGAGAAACTGAACAATGTGGTTCCTTCTGCTGCTGGGTTTCACTAGTGGGATACTTGGTATGTTCAACTCTTGTTTATTATGATTCATTATTTTACCTTGAAATATATTGTAAAATGATTGAGATATAAATATTCATACATATTAGCCTAATAAAAAAATAAAATAATTTGATAAAATAAAATTAAATAAAAAATTATGCCAAATTAAATAATGAAATTATGCAAATCAAGGAGTAATAGATTATTCCTAGATACAGATCATTGTTGGCAATTGGAGAGTTGTTAATATTTGTTGATTTGTTGGCTATAAAAATGCTGATATTTAATTGAGAGAACACTTATAGAAACTACTTATGGTTATAAAAATAATGGGGGGGGGGGTCCAATAGGAGGGGTTATAATCCTTCCTAAACACCCTCCCCACATTATCCACACAGATGGAGAACACGCATTAAGAATGTATCTTTCTTATTTGTTGTTTGTTAAAATTTGTGTATTAACATTTTAAGATTACAATAATAGCAACTAATTATAGGGCATACAATGCACCCATCTAGGAAAGGTTAATACATCAACTCTCAAAACGTAAATGTATTTCTACACAATCTCCCCTCATATGTTAGGTAGCAGAACTCTTATCTGCTTTTTTTTTAATACTGCTTTTTGTATACGCTGCTTATAAGAATGATAAATATTAGTGCCTGACTCATTGACTGTGTTTTAGAATAGCTCAATTTCTTTGTGTTATCTCAGTCAGTTTAGTTTGTTTGCGTTATCTTACTCACTTTACTTTGTGTTATCTAAATCACGTTACTTTGTTTGTGTTATCTAAATCACTTTACTCTGCGGTTTCTAAATCAGTTTACTATGTGCTATCTCAATCACTTTCTGTTACCTAAATGAGTTTACTTTGTATTATCTAAATCAGTTTACTTTATGCAATCTCAACCACTTTACTTTATTCTGGGATGTCAGCCTTTCAGCCCAATGAAGAATACAGCTACAGCTATGATGTGCAGATAGTGACTGGCCTGCCCTCAGAGTCAAACATTTACTCTGGTTTTCGCATGCATGCTGAGGCCCGTGTCCAGTTTACAACATACAGTCAAGTTCATGTCCAGCTGGGAAATGTTGTCTTATACAACATACACCAGCCAGTTACACAGTATAAGGTAATCATTTACACATTTCATCACTAATATCGTGTGAACATGAAATTTGAAATGCAAAAATAAAAATAAATATTAGTGAAAATTTACTTTTTATTTGGAGAAAAGCTATCATTATAAACTAATGTAACTTGGTGCAAAAGTAGGCTATTCATTGTCTGCTAAACTACTGTCTGAATAATATTTTTATCTACAGGCTGAAGAGTATATTTTTCCAGAGGAATTTCTCATGGAAATGATAGGACAAGATACTAAAGCAATAATTGAAACTCTGGAACTTCCTTTTGGTTTTGAGTATGTGACTATACCAAATTCATTTTAATGTTTATTGTTACACATATGTTTTAAGTAAATATATTTAAATATGTAGGCTACACAATGTTTATTGAATTTAAAATAATTTATTGTATGTATTACTTAAAATGTATTTTTAAAAAAAAGGTATGTTGAAGGCATGGTAGCAGCAATCACATTCAACAACAAAGAGACTGAGTGGTCTGCCAATACTAAACGTGGCTTTATTTCTCTGTTTGAACTTAACCTTAACAAAAGAAACTTAGTTGAAGATGTTCTACAACATCCCAGCAGGAATGGTGAATCTTCTGTCAATTCTTACAAAGTTTTGGAGGTAAATGTTGACATATTATAGGATTTAGTTTTCTGATGTAAATGAGCATGTTATTTTGTTAGGTAGTCCTACTACTTATGTGCCGTTATTGATTTAGGAGTCAGTTGTAAGGAATAGTTTATTCTTTCTATATTTAGTTTATCTTGTTTTTGTTTTGATCAATGCAGTTTTAAATTTTAGAAATTTGCCTACTAACTCTATAACCACAGAATAAGGTGACTGCCAGTTATAGAACATTTTAGCAGTAACTTAAGGTAGTTCAGTTTCAGTAAATTTCATCACTAGAGCAAAAATTATGGCTGTTTGCATACCAAAATAAAAGTATAAACATGGTGCCTCCTGCAAAAGCATAAAAATAAACACTCTAAAACTTTGATTTTGTGAATCATTATTGTAAACCTAACCCAATACCCTGCTCTAATCCTAACCCTAAACAAACAGTAAGACTAAGAAAAATATTGCATCTGGTATACCAGAAGGTACCATCAACTGTTTGCATATTTTTCACCATAAAATAAAAAAGTATCTGGTATATTTTTAGCATCCACCATAACTGTGTTCATATTTACATTATGTTCTTACATATTTTTGATATTCACCATAGTTATATATCTACATGTTTTCAGTCTTTTGTAGCATGATAAATGTCTTGTATTTTTAGCGTTCACCAGTTGGTGACTGCCTGACCCTGTACACCACAGTACAACCCCCAGACAAGCAGTCCAAGTTTTTCATCTCCAAAGTGCGAGACTATGATAACTGCCTGGACAAATCCAGCTATTTTAAAACCATGTTTCATGGTTATTTCCCAACCAGCCTTAGCAAGGTACATTTTTTCTATGCATCTATTAAACCTACAAATTTATATATAAAAAACAAAATTCAAGCTTTAAAAAATAAAAAAAATAATTATAAAATGAAAACTGAATGCTAGTAATTATAAGACAATTAAAATGTTGTGTTTATTAACATAGAATATTATAAAACCATTCTTTGTATACTTTGATCAAAGCTAAAACCTATTTTAGGACAATCCATTGAGTTCTGCAGCTAATCTGAAATATAATGTCAAGGGAGATAATACCACGTTTAGAATCCAGTCTGCTGTTGCTGAAACCAAGATTTCATTCTCCCCTTATTGGGACAAAGGATCTGTAATCACAACTTTAAAGTAATATTATAGATTTACTTTTTTAAAAACAAACCTTTCATTACCAAAAACATGATTCTGCAAGTTTTTGTTCGTTTCTATTAAAGAGGATTCTGTATAACTAACATCTCATTATCCTATTTTAAAAATTGAATCTTACATTTTAACGTTGGGTCATTTAAACTTATATCTGTACTCTGTTTTATTCAAGACTGTAGTCACCATGTTCTTAACTAGGTGGCATTTTGGTTACTTGTTTTTATAGAGTTAAAACATCTTTTTGTTGTAAGCCATTTTAAATCTTGCATTTTTTTCTGGTCTTCATTAGTGAATAAAATATATAATTAATGCTTCCATCATCATACTTTGGTAATTTTAATCTTTGAAGTCAATACCTACTGAATACAACACAATAATTCTGCTGGAAAAAGGCATTCAAATTTTGTACATAACACATTGCTTGTAGGTTAAAATATCACCTTAACCCAAGCCAGTGTGTGCATGGTGCTGTATTATCATTTAAGTACTTCATTAGTATTTTAGTAGGCCCATGGCTCAATTTTAAGAAACAATGTCAAGAAGTTTGTTTTACCATCTGCCTTTTCCACAGCCACATTTTTTAGGCTATATATCACACATTAACATGTTCACTCTTTGCTCAGTTTTAAAGAGAATGTCATTTGCATTGAGGCTTACAAAATAATCAGAATATACAAGTTCACAAAAGTGTTGAAACAGTTTAAAAATGTGTACCTCAAGTAGCAAATAATAATTTTAGCTATCATTTTTTTTCTAGCAATAGAACACTTTTGTAATTTTTAGCGTTATTGATTTTTGAGATTTTATAAAAAAAAAATTCATTTATTACATTTCAGCCAGACATTGTTTCTTCTGGACATCAAGAAAATGTCCAAATCAACCCATATACCTGTGGCTGACCCCAATGAATCCATTAAAAGCAGTTTGCACATGACTCTTCCATACCAGGCTGTTGATTCTCAGGTTCCATTTCAAACCTCACAGGAAGACCCCATGAAGAAGGACAAGCTATTTAATGTTTACACTGTTGATATGGTAAATCAAGATCAAACTTGAGTTATGAGATATTTTATTGACCTAAAAGAAAATTAAGTTTTCAAAATTTTCAATTAGCTATGTAATTGTTCCAGATATTTGTTTAAAAAGTTACTGCCACTGCACAAGCTAAGCTATTAAGTTAGACTTCAAAAAAAAGCTCAATAGAGAAAAAATTGGATTGTAATAATCAATTCATATTTTCATTAAAAAATTCAAACATATGGGAAAAATAGTAAGAGAATTTTACTGGAGAAACAAAAAAATGCATTATTAAAGTGTACCCATGCTTTATGAAAATTTAGACCTTGATGGAATAATGATTAAAACATGTTTTCTTTTAAATCTAATACTCAGATTCAGACACACTTGAAGTATGCAGCTGAGAACACTGCTGACATTGCTTCAAGTGACTCACTGGTGCATCTTGGGATTGTGGTAGAAATGCTGAGCTCCAGCCCCATGTCTGTTATCAGGGAACTCTGGGATAAAATATACCTGCCCATCAGGAAGTCTCAAAATAAACTTGATCTGGCAGCGTAAATATATTTTTCAATTTCACAGTTATTTTGTTTTTATTGTAGGAAAGCAGAAGTACAGCCTAGCAGTATTCTGTTGTTTTAAACAATAATCTAAACATTTGAAACATTCACTCACAGTATTTTATGTTGTGCTTTTAAAAAGATTTTAATAATTTGAAACATTTTATAATTGGATATGACCAATTAACGTTGATAATAAGAGTATAATTTTACTCAAGCAATCAAATAGTTTGAAAATGAAATATATTAAAGTACTTTGGAAAACACTTATGACCTTTTCTGGTCTTTAGAGACATTTTCTTCAATGTTCTTCCTTTTGTGGGGACTGAGCCAGCAGCAAGCCTTATTCTAGATGTGTGCTCTACTGACCACTTCATGATGGACAAATGTGCAACAGCTTTCAATGTACTCACCCTCATGGCAACACCAACACCAGAACTCATTCATAAATTCATAGTAAGCAGAAATTGTACCTGATTTTTTTATCAGAAGACAGGTAAAAAAAAAATTGATCTGTCGTATTGACAGTTTGACTGTAGACAATGTAAAGCTTCGAACAATTTTAGGCTGTTTTATTAAATTCTGTATTGGGATTATTCATTTTACCACTTATAATTATCCAAATAAAGTTTTTGAGACAAATTTTTAAAAATATACTATAGAATTTAACTTTTATTTTTACACTGACAGCAATTACTAAATATTCAATTGTTTTTAATTTGTTCTCTCAGAGTTTGGCTGAAAATAATAGAGCAGAGTGGTCCACTGATATGAAGCAGGCTGTTTACCTGTCTCTTGGCTCCTTGGGCTTCAAGCTGACTTTAGCTAAGAGAGATCAGCTGCTAGAGCTAGCCAAAGCTAAGTCAATGTTGACTGTGAGTCGACTGCTAGGCTAAGTAACAATTCTACAACCCCTTGCAGGATTTGTTAAAAAAAAAACATCTTTTCTGTGGGGTGGAAGTGTAAAGGGATAGTAACATAATTATACTTTTTATATTACAAAACATTTTACATAAACAATAACAATGCATACTTTTCAAAATGTATTTATTTCTCCATAGAGTCTGAAGGTGAATGGCGATAAATTTACCAAGCAGTTTGTGGAGAATAAGATGCACATGATCAACAGCAAGCAGGAAATTGTTATCAAAAGACACGAGGAGCTGGCTCAAGCCATAGTTAAAGTGAGCACAACACGTCATAATATTTTGTTGTCACTGATGGATTTACAGTCACTGAAGGCATTAGTGTTAATGATAGTATAGGCCAGTTTTAGGGATTGGGTCATATTGTGGGAAGATTTTTCTATTTATTGCCCCTACCCCCACCTTAGTGAAATAATCAAACACTATACAGTTGTTAAAAAATAGTTATTTTCAATTAAATATGCGGGCTGTTGAATAAATAGAGATTAAAGAATTATATCAATTCACCTTTGTAAAACAAACAATCATACCTGTATTAGACTATTACTATTTGAAAATCTAACATGCCCATACCAGTTACTGTACTTTAACCAGTTTATTTCTCCTTTGTTACAGGCTGTCAGCAAGCTCATGGAGAATGAGACTTTGAATGATAAAATTCTATGCCTAAAAGCTCTCTCTAACTCTGGACTGCCCCAGTCTGTGCCAGTGCTGAAGAAGGTGTTGCTCAACACCACAGAACACCTGTACCTCAGGGTGTTGTCAATTCTGGGACACCAGAGGTTGTACTTTGATGTGGCAGCTAAGAAAGATGTGAGTACCAGTTCATAGTTTCATCTTAAAAGAAGTATTTATAATGTATTTGTCAAATTTAAAAAAAAAATTAATAATTTTTAATTATATTTTTTAGCGCAATTTCCATTCTGGAGAATTGCGTTTATTAACCCGTCATTTCTGGATGTATGAATGTATGAATGAATGGATGGATGGATGGATGGATGGATGTGTGTCCGCAGCTTAAGTCTTATCTCCTCCTCAACGAAGCAATATCGATGACTAGTTCCAAAAGCAATTATGTTAAGCAAGTTACGAGGATGAACATAGGCCATAAAAATTCCGGGTTTCTTTCATGGATTTCCCGGAAAAGCCAAAAAACCTAAAAAAAAAGCAGTTTTTTCCCCATATCTCGGCAACCAGACCACTTAGTGACTTGAAACATGTACCAATCGATTCCTGCCATAATTTAGAACAATATTGCCGAAGAAAGTTTTCAAAAATATCCTTTCGTTCAGTCACAAAATTTTTTTTGAATTAATTAAAATTTGGACCGAATTAGTAGGCATATTTATCCAACCACACCACACGCGTCATCACGTTCAATAGCTGCGCCATCACGTTCAATGGCTGCGTCATCACGTTCAGTAGGAGCGCAATGGTTTTTAGTCATGTAACTCTATTGTAAATAAAACATGTAAAATACTGGAAAAAAAATTAATAAAAAAACGTTTTAATAACTAACCAATGGTTTTACTAACCCTGCTCTTGATTTACGCTACGACAGAGCTATTTTTAGATAACATAAGGAAATTGCGCTTAAATGTCACTAGACTTTTTAATTAACTTGTTTTTGTTCAAGCCCTTACTATTAATTACTATTTTTGCATCTTTTTCATTTGAAATTTACATAAAGAAAATTGTAGAAATGTTTTGCTATTTTTAGATATATGAAGTCTTTTAAAAATATTTTAAATTAAATTATTTAATCATATTGAGTTGGTTTACATAAAAAAAAAATCCATATTATTATATCATGTTTAATACTATTGTATTTTATAAAATACACTGAGGACTACTGGATACTATAATATAACTGTGTAGGCCTAAAATATTTTTTCTATATTACATAATTTTCATTGGGATTATATAGTTTTATTTATTGTTAAGACTACAATGACAAAATGCTTTCAACTTCTGTCTCCAGGCACAGGAAAGAATGCTGAGTGTTTTCTATGATTTAAATGAAACACATGAACTTCGGAACATTGCCTTCCTTGTTCTAATGCACCTTGAGCCCGAGAAGATTATACTAGAAAATATTGCCCTTCACCTTCACAGTGAGCTGGACATGCATGTGTCCAACCTAGTCCAGACCTACCTGGGCAGTTTTGGGAACTCTACTTTTTACCCTCTATCGTCACTGTAAGCTATGACTGTGTAGTTTAAAATATCTGTTTTGTTGTTTAGTGAACATCATATTTCCTGCTTTACTTCATCTTACCCTTAAATGAAAATTAAACATCCAGATTTAATTATTTTAATATTTAAAAAAGTAATTGTTACATGTTTTTTTAACATTGAATTCCTTTTCAAATATTATTTTGCTTCTTTTGTAAGTGAAGGAATCCAGATTTTCAACAATCTGTTATAAAAATAATATGTATTAGCTTTTTTTATGTAGCATCAATAAAAGATGCCCAAACACTTTAACAATGTGTAATATAGTTAGAAGACATATATTATGGTTAAAGATAAAGTTTTATGATTTAAAAATTCTTGTCTTTATCTTTCCAGTGCTAAAAATTGTTCTGACGCCCTCAAATTGGCACCACATCCCCATGTTGATCTTGAGCACTCCTACTTCCAGATGATGAGCAGCTTGCACAGTGAGCATAGATTTAAAAAAATATTTACACGCTCATTAACACTAGAAAAATATGTTTGCTAATCTTTACCATTTATTAACCCTTAGTTACAATTATATAAAGTGCATGAATAATTGAAAAACACAAAACAAAACAACAACCTCTCTTTAGTAATAGTTTAACTAAATACTTTTTGTAATCTGGAATAAATAATTAATGCTCTTAAAGATCATGCTTCTCATTTAAATGTAATAATGGATTCATTAAAAATATCATGCTATAATGATGGATTCATTTAAAATATTAAAATGTTCCCAGAAGGTTTCAAAATGGGGGAAGTTCTCAAGATTTCCTCTATAGGAACAATGAACAGATATGAAAGCTTGATTTTAAATCTAGACACTTATGTCTATGGTCTTTACAGTGAGTTTCTAGAGGTAAAGGTTTGAGTTTTCCAGATTTTACATTTTTCAATTTATTTTGTTCATTCAGTACAGCTAAAAATGTAATTTTTATACTTTCTAAGATATTTATTTTCAAGATAATTTTAAAATATGAATTTTTTTTAAATGAATGGAAACCAATTCTTTCATTGAGTATAGATTGGCATTAAGACAATAGATGCTGGCCATGTTTTGAGCATCCTGTTAGGCCCACATGGCATAATTAAGCAAAGTGGTGCAAGTAAAAAAAGTGATAGAAAGTCTGGCCCACAGGAAATGATTGAAGAAATTTACAAAATAGTAAGTTAATTTGTCAATTAAACTTAAGATGCAGCTTGTTTTTATTTACTAATATTTAAAAGTAACATCACAAATGCTTCTGTACAAGATATTGATTTTTTGATAATTATTAGTAATTTGTGAATTATTGCATACATATAATTCATCTGTTATTCATTATTATATAAATAGCAATTAACAGATTTTGCAGCAAAGTAGGCTGACTTTTTAATTTTGTTTTAATTTTTTAGTTGAAGATCAAGCCAAAAAAATCTCAGGGTCCGCCTCTTGCTCAAGTTTATCTGAAGTTAATGGGACATGAGTTACGATACTTTGATTTAAGAAAATACATCTTCTCTCTCATTGCTGACAGTATGTTGCAATTATTTTACGTATATATTTTTATATGAAATGAAAGTATGATTAGTGTTACAATAATAGAAAAATATACCTTAAACTTATAACATAGGTTCTTCATAATAAAAAAATTACTAGCTCAAAACTATGAAAGTCCAAATAAGGATGTTTGGAAACTGAACTCTCTAATTAATGCAAGCACAACTTGAATCAGGGTCCGTAGCGGACCTTGAATCCTTGAAAAACCCTTGAATTCCAAAAAACATCTCAAGGCCTTGAAAAACCCTTGAATTTCCCCAAAAATGAGCAAAACCCCTTGAATTTTATAGGTAAACCTTGAAAACCGTGCGTAAATCGAATTTAAAAAAAAATTCAATTCTGATGGATCTAAAGTTTTTCTGCCTTTATTTTTTTTTTTGCCGTGGGTCTGCGTTAACTTCGGAGTCTATTTCCAACCCTCTCCTTCGCTAAGCCTCGCGGTATGACCCCAACCTGACCAGTTTTGCATAGGCTCTGCCTAACCTAGATTCTAGATCGTGACGTAGATAGCCGAGGGATAAATTTAGCATCGTTTTTCGGGTATCTCCGTTTACTAGATTCTAGATCTAGATTCATTGTTTTCTGTTAGGGCCTACCTACTTGTACGGTTTTGTCCGTAATTTTTCGATTTTGACACCCCTGTTGCGGAATTAGGCCGCAAATGTTACGCAAAAGCCCACAGTAAACATCAAAATCGATTTAGTGTCGACCTTTTTTTTCTTGTGTTAAATTTCCGTGTTATCCGGTTCTATGGTTTCAAACATCTTCAATCATAACAATCGACGCCCCCCGCCCCCCAAATCCCTTCCCGACAATATCTCGGCAGTCGTTGGCTCTATTTATATTGTGAACTTTATTGACCCCGCGAGTGGTCTGTTGTCTCCTGATCATCACCGTCCGTAAAGAAAAAAATTGGAATGTGGCCTAAATCATTAAAATTCTGGTCGCGCATGGAAATTATCTCGATTATAATTAAACCTACATCTAGAACTAATATTTTTTTCTTCAAGAAAATAAGCCTTAGGTTTAAATAAAAAAAGAATAGCCTGAACTATGTGAGCGTAGGTTTCTATTTATTTAAATTAAAATTTTCTCGGTGTGGGTTAAACACAAAAGGGCGAAACGTAGCTGCGGAATTACGGGTAAATAGCGAGACATAATTTATCGAATTATTGTGTTCTGTTATTTTAGATGTGCGAGAAGACACGTTTTTACGAACCTAGATCAATCACGGTTCTTTGTGTACCCCACGATAGCAGATGTTTCGGTCACTGCGACCTTAGAAGGTCTTCTAGGTCTATCTCAACTTACAGTGACCTCGCAGTATATTAATAATTAATATAGTCGTGGATCTTGATCTAGATTTTTAACTATTATTATTAACCAACAAGATTTCCTAACGCCAATAGGCCTATTTATCACGTTCGTTAAAAAAACCAATAGCAAATGACGTAATCGTCAATCTCACATGCGCTATGGACCAAATACACATTGACTGTATGAGATGGGTGAGGCTGTAGACAGAACTTTTTGATGTCATTCTTGACGTGGCTGTCTGGTTATTTATGACGATAGAGGTTGGGGTAAAATTCGCATTAATTACGTGACGTCATCAATGGGCTACCGCTAGGCTGTGTAATTAAAAAAAAAATTAAATCCTAACATTACCAGCTCATTAGCATCGCCGATTGTCTTCTTAAAAAAAGGAAAGATTTTGCGCCGACGTAAAAAAAAAAGTTTGTATTTATCAAAAGAAAAGAAAAATAATTTGAAGGACTATGACTGTGCTGTTTTCACTCAACTTCACTCAACTTTTTACCGCCTCTCACTTCAAGGTCGCGCTGACCGTAAGACCTACGACACGAGACCACGCGCGAGCACAGTAGTGTCTCACGGTCAAGGCAGTTCTACAAACGCTGTTTATCTAATTTTAACGTGGTTATCTTTAATATTGGGCTTACTGCTAGATTAAAGCGAAAACAAAAACTATATCTGCATCGTTTTAGGTCATTGAACAAAATATGTAGGTCTGCTATAATTTAGTTACACCATCTAGCAGGGTCTAGATCTAATTGATTTTTACTGTGGTAAAACGTCCTTGAAATGTTTAAGAAGCCTCGAATTACAGTGTTTGAGAAAATTGCCGCTGTCACTGCCCCCTCCCATCCGCTTGTAAAAAAAAATCCGCTTTTCACTTTGTCGGGCGGCTACATCTCTGACATGAGTATTACTAGCGTAGTTACTAGTGAAATTGTTTTAAAAAAACAACTTAATTCTGTTATTCCGCGATATAAACTAACTTAAAACTTCCACGATATTTCTTTACGTCATCATGTGTATCATAGGTGGGGACATTGGGGTCGTTCATAAATGACGTCACACTCGTAGGGGGAGGGGGGATCCGTAATCGTGTGACGGTGTGTGATGAGGGGATGGGGGGGGGGGGGGGTCAGATCGTGTGACATCACACTTTTGCATTATTAAAAAGCAATGTTAGAAAACGAATTTTAGCATTTTAGAAAACTGTTTTAATAAATTGTAAAAGGAATTGATTAAAATACTCTATTTTGACAGAGTTCAGACAAGATTTTGGGAAAAAAATCCTATTTTAAGAAAAATTGAACTGCAATCAAGGGGGGGTGGGGTGTAGGAGGGGTTATAGGCTGAGGTGTGACGTCATTTTAGAGGGCGGGGCCTGGCTTTTTGTGATGTGTGACGGAGGGGGGGGGGAGAGGTAATAATCTTTTTAAAAGCGTGAGGTCATTTATGACATTAAGCAGGATAATTTCTACAAGCATAGCTAGGTTTTTTTTTGTTTCTATATGTGTGCAGAGTCCTTTTTAAAGGAATATGTGTGCAGAGTCCTTTTTAAAGGACTATCAGACAGACGAACCAATGCTTCCTTTTATGTATAATGACCTGATTCTGATTATCACTTGACATTGACAAGTCATTCAATTGAAGTTGGGTTTGTTGCTGACTCTCTAATAAAGTCTCTAGAAAAAGTAAAAAAAGCAAGTGAGCTTCAAATTCTCAATTTCAAATCTGATTGTAAGACAACTTTGATAGGATTTTCATCAAATTTTTTTACTGAAATCTCCATTACTTTAGTCATTAGTGAGAGACTTAGCCTAATGCAAATGTTTAAAAATAGAGCCAGTTCACCAAAAAAATGAAGGGAATTCTTCACATCCTAGTCAACAAATGGAAACTGAAATCAGCTGAGTGTGACCAAGTTCTGTTTCAATTTTCAACATTCATAGATACATGTACTCTAAATGGTTGTCTATCTAAATCTAATTGAGAACATGATAGGCTGGACATTTTTTTCATTGAACAGCTTGGTAGCAAAATTTCTTATGTGAACATTTGGAAAATTGTTAGAGATCTATTGCTTCTGTCACATGGTCAAGCCAGTGTTGAAAGAGGTTTTTCTGAAAATAGAAGTTGGAGGAGTGTCATTTGACACCAAAGATACTGATTGCAAAAGGGATTATGCTGGACTCTCAGACAATCTCCTGACTTAGATAATTTTGTAATAACACCAAAATTATTTCAAAAATTGTGTGTGCAAAAAACATACATCACCCTCATTGTAATGCCCGTTAGTGGTAGTTTATACCTTGAAATTCCCCCCAAAATCACCTTGAAAACCTTGAAAAAGCCTTGAATTTACTTTTGGGATTTGGCTATGGACCCTGTTGAATGCATAATACAATATCCTTAAATCTCTAATACACCAATATAAAAAAAATTGTTTTTGTTTACTCAAGGTACAACAAGATGGAACCCTACAGAAGCCAAGCTTTCAGCAGAACTTCCCCTGGAGATCAAGACTATGCTCTACCTCATGAATACCAAGCTGACTCTGCCTACTGAGGCTGGGCTGCCTGTATCCTTGAAGCTCAAGGTCTCCCTAACTCTCAATGCCCAAGGGTCCATAACTCTCAATGTGACAGCACCCACTCAGGAGAAAGACAGAGGAAAACTATCATCTCTTGACTTGGATCTCAGTGTTGATGCTAAACCAAAGTAAGAGTTAAAAAAATAGATGCTGTTTTACATGAGTAGATCCATGTAATATTTATAATAATAACTTTCTCTGTGGTTTTAGAACAAATAATAACTGAGTTAAATTACAGAGTATTCCAATCTTGGTATCAAGTTGCGCCTTGGATTCTTTTTTGTTGCAAGATGTCCTAAATTCATCTTTATTCCAAGATGTGTCTTAAGTTCATCTTTGTTCCAGGATGTCTTAGACTTATCTTTATACCAAAATGTGTCATAGATTCATCTTTGTACAGTACTGTCCTAGATCATCTTTGTTCAGGGTGTGTCTAAAATTCCTCTTTGTTGCAAGATGTGTCTTGGATATATGTTCAGGAATATATCTTTGTTCCGGGTTGTGCCTGAGATGGATCTTTGTTGCAGGATGTGTCTGTGATCTATGTTCCAGAATTTATCTAAGATTAATTTTTTGTTCAGGGATGTGTCTGAGATGAATCTTTGTTCTGGGATGTGTCTGAGATTTATCCATGTTACAGCCCAACCATGTTGTATGGTTAAAGAAATTTTTTTTACTCCAGGCTGACCATGGCAATGTGTGGCTCCATGGGACTGGATGCTCATTTTATTCAAAGAACAATGTCTTTCAATGGCCTGTTTAAGTTCACAATGCCCATCCACCAAAATATGTCGTATGATATGATGAATAACAAATTCAAATTAGTTGGTCATATACCCAACCCTGTAAGTAGGCCTATTTTCTTATTGCTAATTCTTTTAACTCATTCATTAGCCAACATAACTTTAAAAAAAAATTCCTTTTTTCCTAATATAATGAAACCTTATATTGCTTTGACATAACAAACCACACTATACCTGCACTATTGAACTATTGTTGCCTTGTGCTGTGTTAACATTAAGATGACAAATTATCAAGTAACTTATGGATTTTAAATCACATACATACATGGTATATGTTTTAAAATAATAAACATGATGTACCTTCAAGAGGTGCATAAACATTATTTACTCACATTCCATCCAACTGGCAAAACAAGATGTTAAAATAGATCCAAGTGATGACAACATAAGACAATTATAACATACATGTAAGACAATATATGTAAAACAAAATGTCTTGACACTTCAAGAAATAATCATTAATTGTAGTGTAAACTAATGAAAATTTCTCTCTTAAAGGATGGTCCCCTGGTTGAAGTTACCTTAGAGCCCTCTGCAGAGTCCATGACCCTGATGCCTAACACCAGTGCCTCCGCACTACACCTGGACAGAACACCCCTCAGTATGGGCCAGGTTGTTCCAGTGAGTTTGTCTATTTATAGTTTGTCTATACAGGCATAGTACTTGTATCTACATTGTTAAAGTAGAAACATCTTTTATCCTAATAATAATAACTTCCACACATTTGCATACATTCTTTTTTCTCTTTTTCCATGCATTATTTTTGTCATTCATTACCGCAATAGCATTTAGTCCGTGATATTTTCAATAAAAGATTTGCAAAATAGTAATCTTTTTTTTTTTAAAGAAAAAGCACTAATATACTAATATATAATTTATTTACTACAGATTAATAGATTTTGTGAGTTCAAGTCTGTGGGCTACAAGTTAGGCCTTATGGGTCATGTCCCATCTACCACCCCATGGGTTGATCCAATCAGACTTCTGTATGGCAGCACCCAGTTGAGTCTGTGGAGTCTACCATCACATGACACACCTGCAACAGTGACACTGATTGGTCAGATTGTTTCCTCAGACTTTAACCTTACCAGCCAGACTGAGGATGGGATATTAGAAAAGTTGGATGATGCCGAAACAAACAGGTACAATTATTTTACAGTTGAAAAATTTATTTTAGGTTTAACTTCCTACAGTTTAGATACAAGAACTTATCATAGGAGTTGGTACTTAAGTTACAACAGGACTCTACTCTAGTTATTGAAGAGGGTCTTTAATGTAGTCATGACAAGGAGTATACACTATAATCTAAACAGGGATCTGTACTCTAGCCAACTCAGACTGGGTCATCATAGGAGAGGGGGAGGGGGGGGGGCTATGCTCTAGTTATCAGAAGGCTTCTGTGCTTTAGTCATAGTCAACACAGGTGTCTGTAGTAGGATCATCAAAGGGGGGGGGGGCAAACTTAGGGGTCTCTACTCTGGTCATCACAAGGGTCTGTCATACCTCACTCAAGCCTGCATAAAAGCTGCTTCGCACTGCGCTGACCATATAATTCCTTAATGTCACAAATAAACCCCTACTTAATCTGCTCCATTGAGATCTGAGAGTACTTTCCATGTTTGTTTACAGCTCTATCACACCATTCTACCCCAGCTCATGTAACAGCATGTTGATTGTATGTTTATACATCATCTTTTTCTTCTTTTAGTGATCCCATCGATCTAAAGAAAACCTCAGTTAATATGAACCAGCTGGCCTCTAAATTTGCAAACATTTTTGGAAAACCTTTCCTTTCACAAAGACAGAGCACAGGAATAGTTTTATGTCTGGACATGAGCACAGGGGTGACACCCAGGAAGTTACAACTGGAAGTTATTTTTAGCTCTTTTATTCAGAGCCATATGAAAACAATGTACTTCAGAATGTGGGAATCATCCAAAGATGAGGCCTCTCCCCAACTTTGGCAGGTTTGTTGCTACTAGGGTTAGAGACTTATATTTAATTTTTTTCAATATTTTTCTAATTTTTTTGTTGTAAATTTACACAAGCCATTTTTGCTTTTGTTTTAGATGGTTGGTGAGTTTAGAGTTACCTACCCTTTTAAAGTACATGAGCCACAAGACATTTTCTCAGGCAGCTGGCAACAACAAGTTATGAATGAATTACAGTATCATGTGACCACCCATTCACACCAGGTAATTATCATATGATTACATATACAGACCAGGTAATTACAATATCATTTGACCACTCATTCATACCAGGTAATTATCATATGACTACACATTCAGACCAGGTAGTTAAAGTATCTTTCACACAAGGTAATCTTCTACATTGCTACATGTATAGTGAGTTCAACTAGCAGCTTCAGAGCTTCAAATAATAGCTGATATTTTCTTTTCATGATTCATCTGAAATAAATGATTATGGAGCTACATAAAATTAGTAGTGCTGTCCCCATAAAAAGTTTTTAAATAGTAAATGGATGTCTTCTCAGTATGAATGCAGCTAACTGGTTTAGTTTTCACTAATTTTTATTTGTATAGGCAGCCAATGAAATACTCAGTTCCGCTTCATTGAGTCAGATGGCCAAGTTGAATTATCCAGCAATGATCAAGGCACCCACACAGAGGTGAAAATTGTTCAACATATTTTTACTTTCATGATTCTTCAACTGCTTATTTCTTATTTTGTTTTCATACTTTTTTTTAAAGTATATAATTTAATTAAAATTTATAATGTTCCATAAAAATAAAATTTCATACAAAATATTTCTAGTTTATTATTTGTTTGTATTGCATGCCATTTGGTTTTTACAGAGTCCTCAACAACCTAATCCCTGAGCAGCTTTACAAAATGATCAAGACTTCAGCCTTCACCAGAAACCATCTAAAGGCATCAGTCATTTCTAGAAACTGGCAGCTCTACTGGGTCAAGCTGTTACCACTGCAGCACAAAGTAATGATAAAACATTCAGTCCATTTATTGCATTTTAGTTGTTAATGCTAATTTAAATAGTATTTTTTTTGGTTACATTTGCAAATTAAGTAGGGCTGAAGCTAGCTTTCTAATTCTTATGCAACAAATCCTCATGTCAAATTATAATAATTTCTTCATTAGTTTAATACTTAAAAAAACACAATTTTTAAATACTTTTCTTATATGTGACACCAGGCTTGTTTTTCAAAGTTCCTGGGTAGTTAGAAGTATGATTGGTTATAGAGTTATAACTAAATTATAGTAAGAAAGAGCTAATTTACTATGGGCGAGGCTGGTATAGGTAGGCCTAAAGAGGTGGTTATGTGTCCTGACAACCTAATATCTATTTTCTGTAGAAATGAGCAGTAAATGGCTTTTTGAAATTTTAAATGTATATTAATCCTACCTAACAGCTACACTACTAGTTACATTGTTATCTAAAAGTGTATTTCTGACCAAGGTATCTGAGGAGAAGAATCGTAAAGTTGACCAGCTACTTCTCACCCGTGATGCCCGTGTGCTGTGCTACCTGGAAGGAATGACAGGTGTGCAGGAGATGCTGACCAAAGACCTGGAAGAGGTTCTTGTAACAGGTGTGGTGGACACCTGTGAGCTGCCCATAGTCCAGTGGCTTGTTTACAATCATGTTCTGGTGGCTCATGATTTGGATGAGATTGTTCACAGATACATCATGGTACTTTTTGAGAACTTAAAACAATATGTTGAAGATAAATCTCTGAATATTTTCTCCTACCAATTTCTAACAATGAGCTCAGCTCTAGCTAAGTCAATGGAAACAAAATTAATTTAACATAACTCTATTAAGTTGTTAGTATTATTGTAATATCAGATTTTTAGTGATAAGGACTATGATGATGGTAGGACTTGAGGGTTTTAGTAAGAATTAGGGTTAGGGATAAGGTTAGCATTGAAATTAGCTAGTAATATTGGTTGATAGTTTACAAAAAGTAACCTGTTTCTTTTTTAAGAAGATTCTATTTCTTTGTTGCTTTTGGACACTGAAATAAAATTAATTACCCAATCATATACTATTTAAAAAAATGTTGAGCAACAATTTTGCTTATACATAGAATTTAAAAAATAAGTTATATATAATGAACATTGTTTTTAAAAGAAGTAGTAGTAACAGAGGTATATTTCTGAAATGTGTAATTGTTTTATCACCTAATTTCTACTTCTGAAGAATCGTGTTATGACAGACGACCCCAAAGTTGTTGAGTTGATGAAAGTCATTAATAAAAACATGGGAGCTCTTCTTACAAAAATGAAAGAAGTTATTTTCTCAAAGAAACTGGCCATGCCCTCACATAGCAACATGACTAGAAGCAACATAGGGATGGAGCAGGACTTCTTTCATCCTCTTCATTACAAGGTGTGCTTTTTAATTTGTTTTTTAGTTATGGCAGTCTTAGATTAGAAAAAAAAATTAATGAAATTAAAGCAATAAACCATGGATGAGTGGTAGAATGCATGACTTCCAACCCAAAAGTTAATGTCATGAGGTCAAGTCCATTGGATGTTTTGTGTCCAACCAGTTCAGTACCATAACTGTGACTGCCAAGGAGGTAAAAAAGCTGAACATAGTGCTCATCACATTAACCCTTTAAAATGTTGAGGTCAGAGAAAAAGATGGTCCATGAAACAGACAAAGTAGAGTTCACCTGTGTCTCTGACCTCAGCAAGTCTTCCTGTCTTTAACCCAAGGTCAGTTTAGAAGTTATTCTTGTGTTTATTTTGATTACTTTATTTTCCCTTTTCAGATCCCAACTGATTATAAGAGGTATCAGTTTGAGAAATTATTCCATTCCAACCTTGAGTTAGGACAAACTGTCAGCAGATCTAACCAAGCAGCCACCACAAACAAAAACTTTGATGAGGATATGCTACATACATCTCTCAACAATCTCACTCTTTCACAAATGGAGGTAACAATTAAAATAATTTTTAAATACCAACTACAGGTACATTTGATTTGTCACCAAGAAGTCAGAAGATCAGATCCCAACTAAAGCATATGTCCACCTCATACTTTTCACTTAAGTCAAGGAGAGAAAAAGCACTCAAATACTGACCTGCTGTAGCTATTGAAATAAATAACTACTTGTTCTATCTTTAAAGGTCCAGATCTCAAAAAGAAAGAATTGAAGACTTTTTTTTTTACATCTTTTATTTAATTTTTAGTACACTAATACAAATGCTAGTATTTTATAGAACGTTACAAATAACCGCATTTAATACATTAGATACCATTTTACTCTCCATATTTAATAGGCCATTAACAGGGTTCACCAGTGTTTAAGTAAAAAGGACACTTTGGAGCCTGGCCTTGTACAACAGGTCATCACTGATACCATCAGAAGTCTGGATATGTTTGACAGGTTGTGGAAGACAAGGCTGATTGATGACAAGGAGATTATTGATCAAATGCTGTTGGTAGGTCTTGTGCAACTTCTTTTTTGTATCTAAGTTAAATATACTGCAGGATTCACATTCACTAGATATTAATGATTATAGATAACATTGTTTTAAAAAGTGGTTATAAAAACACAAGATAAATAATATAATCAGAGTAAGGAAAATTTTAATGTAAAGGATAATTTTTCTTATAAAACACTAAAAAGATGCTTGATGATGTACAAGCTCAACTACAACTGTACATGTATTTCTTTTAAAATCCTTTATCTATTATCCTAAATAAAATTCACTTAATAGTTGTTTTTTTTACTTTGTCTTTAGATTTAGTAGTTGGTTTATTTAATTATGTTTTCAACAGTAGGATATTAAATAAACTAACTTTATACATTGGTTAGCACTTGTTGATAGTTCTAGAAGAAATAAATCTAATGCAAATACTAATTTTTGCTACTAAGGTGACAGTACAAAATGAATTCCTAAGTCACATGTTAAAAAGGTACCATAGCATGGAAATAGAGCCTGCTGTAAAAAACAGAGATGCTGAATTGCAGAATATCTCAGACAGTTTAAGCATCAAGGTGAACATCCTTTATAAACTTCACTTTATTCTCTTTCTTATATCTAGAAATACTTTTCAAAAATAATTGTGTGAATAGGTTTATGCATGGTCACTGTAACTTACTAATGTATACCTGTATAGTAAAAGTTAATTTTCACATTTTTTTTTTCTATTTCTAGATAAACAGTAACTTTTTAGGTCAGCGAGTGGCTAGCATGTACAGAGAGAAACAGATGAAAGATGGTGTCATGCCAAAACTTGAAGAGCCAGAGAGACTCATTTACCAAGAAGTTAGAAATATCTGCCATAGTTTTGCAGTTGACAGACGTGAATTTGAGACCAGACTTTCTTTTCATAGTTCTGCAGTTAAAGGAAAATGGGAAATTGCAGATCTACTAGCAAACCTGGAGACATATTTTAAAAAGGTGAATAGTTATGAAAACATGTATTGCTTTAAAATAAATTCCTTGTAAAAAATAAAATTGTAAAGAAAAAATGATTCCCCCCCCCCATTTATATCTATGGTCCTAAAGTAAATGCAACTGTGAATGTCTGTTTATCAATAACACTGGAGTATTTAACAACAAAATTAACGCAAGAATAAAAAGTTCATAAGATTCTTGGTTTCACATTATTTGTTTTCAAAGAGGAATCTTTTAACCTTTTTCCTTCTGAACTTACCAAGAATTTTACTCTTTTTCAAATTTTTATACATTGTTATATTAATAAAACTTTATAAATATGAATAGTTGAATCCAGTTTTGCTCAAATACTACCAAGAGCTGAGCTCACTTAAAATGAATTAATTTAAACTTAAATTGGTTTTGTTTCCAGCTAACTGAGCTTGAGGAAACAATGTCTAACATGGGGAGAGCACCAACACTGTATCTTGTTATGGAAATGCTAGAGGCCATTCAAGGACTGGAGCAATTCATGGAGCTAGGGCATCTAGCAGTCCTGCCTCACAGTTTCAATGAAAGGTTAGCCCAATCACTAAAAAATTTGTTTAAAACTACTTTGCTGTTACAGAATTTTTTAGATGATGTATTCTGAATATTAAAAGGTATAAAAGGAGTTGTTTTAGAAAAGAATAAATATTAAGTATTCAATTTCTTGAAGAATGACCAAAAAATGTTTAAAAATATATTTGTAATGTAACATTTTACTGATTTAATATTTGTTTCTATCCTTTTTTTTTTAAGTATATCATTTCTCAAGTGGAATTTTATATATTACTTTCAGTTACCCCTGGATTCAAACTCTCAATAAGCTTAAAAGAAATCTCCAACAAGTGAAATCAAGAATGTCTATAATTTTTGACAAGTATGTGAAAGAAGATCAAACAAGGAATCTCCCTCCATTAAACTCTGTTGCAGCGGATTTGAAATTGTGGGAACTGCACCATATCATCCACAATCAAAATGTTCTGCACAAAGAATTGCTAAGGTAATTATGTGGCAAGACTTCAGTGATACATAGTTTTAAATAATATGGACTTTTAATTAAAGCTACATGACATTTTTAGATGTAGGACTATTTATTTTTTAATGATACAGTTTAAATTAAATTAATTGCATAATCTGTAAGGACTATTTATTAAAGCTACATAACATTTAAAAACGTAGGACTAGTTATTTTTTCTACTTACCTTTGTGTTTAAAAGGGTACTTAACTTGAAGGATGCATCAACCTGTTTGTAAAAAGACCATTTTATTGTATGATATATATATAACAGCATTTTGAATTATACACAATTACCTACTTGCTTTAGTCTATGTCATGTAAAGAAATTATGTATGATCAGCTTTGTAATAGTGCTGGCTGGACTTATGTATGATTTGGAGTTATCGACCCACACTTTATACTTTACAATCTCACCTACCTCCGCAGCCCCCACACACTTCCATAGTAAATTTATTCCATTGGTTTTGTTTGTGCTCAAGGTACTTGCAAGCCAGGAATTGGTCTCCCAGTTTGTGGCATACATTGATACAGAGAGCTATAGACAAGGCCCAAGTTCTGCAAACATCTATGATACATCTCCACCCTGACATTATGGCTGAACTAACAGAGGACTATAGCAAAGTTACTGTAGTCATGGTGTTTAGCCAGGTAAATGGTGTTTTATTTTGTTCCAGACAAATAGCCTTTCTTTAAAGCTACAATTACTTAAGTACATGCACTTTTGGAGAAACAAACATAGTCATAAATCAGGATCATGTTAAGAAGAGTTTGTTTTGCTGTGGCAATGACAGATAAATGATGTCCATCTTACTTTGAAATCTGTTTTGAATGTCCAGTAATCGTCAAAGCTAGGTAGACCATTGATGTTCTTCACACTTGTGATTCTGGATTAATGTGTGCTGTGTCACTCAAAACATAGACATCAATTGCTCATATTTACTTCATATTTGTTATGTGCCTTAATGTGGTTAACATAAAAGTAAAGAAGTTCTAATAATCCATAGGGTTGGTGAAGTTAATCGAATTTCTGTTGTTTTATCTCTTTACTTGAACTCAGCTTATAAAGAATTGTGTGGTCAGCCCTCTGCCCACCCACCTCTATTTTGGTTCATGTTGTGATTTTACTTAATGTTGTTTACGTTCACAACCACACATTTCTAATTCCAGGCAATAAAAGACCAGAGAAAATTATGTGAAATTGTTCTTCAAGCATGTCAAGATATGCAGGACAGACCAGATAAACAAGAAGGATTGTTGGAGCAAACAGCCATTTTACTGGAGACACTTGATAAGGTTGAACATTCACTGGAACAGAGATTACACTTGGGTGTATTGTCTGAGGTTAGCAATATTTTAGACTTAAGAAACCTTTTAGTTTTCACTTACATTAAAACTTGCATTAAAATTATTGTATTCTTAAAATCTATTTTTGAAAATCAATGCAGTTAATATATATCATAACCTATACATTGCAACTTAAATCTTCAATTAGTGGTTGTTATAGTTTATCCTAATTTGATTAAAACAAATAATGTTATTATAAGTCATTTTCTATTAACCAGACTAAGATAGAGGAATCTGAAGTTGGTGTGGATGACTCATACAGTGGTGAAATGCTGGATGAAAAACTCAGTTATCCACCTGTCCAAACCATATCCCAGCAAGATACCTCCACACATTTGTTGCCAGTTGGCATAAATGGTTTACTAAACATTAGCTGGGGACAACCTGACAACATGAAGAATAATTTCCACATACAGGTAACCATGCATGCACATCTGGTAAAGCTAAAAGCTAGGAGTTAAGTTTATTTTTATTTTTATAAAAGCTCCAATTTTAAAATAAACAACTTTATAGCTCTAAAAAAGAAAATAAACATAAAATATCTTAAGTTATTAAAGTGTTTGTTGGTCAAGAATTCTTTTAAATACAACTTAGCAGTCAGAGTTTTTACTATTTTAATGAAAGAAGTATTATTTTTTTTTTTTTTTTTTTTAAATTAATTTTTGAGTTGACCGTAAAGTAGATTTATTTGTACATCTTGAGATGTGGAATGTTTAAAAAAAAATTGCAGCATTAATAATGGTTCAAAATTGAGTTTGAAGATTTGACCTAAATGTTCATGAACAGACACTGAATCTGTAAAAAGATAAAAGGTGAGAAGATAATTAAAAAAAACCCACAATTAATAACTTATGAAATTTCTCAACTGACCAGCTTTTGGCAACCAGAAGTGTTGAGCAGCTAACCTACCTGTACCAACAGATGAACTCAGTGGTCAGAAGTACAGACATGGGAAATGCCATTGATTCTCTGTTAGCTGATGAGTTATGGAAGTCCAGCAGTATCAGAACAATGCTAAACTCTTACAACCATTTACATTTTGTGGCTCAATATGATAAGGTCAGTAGTAAATAAAATAAACCAGTCTTTGGAAATTATTAGGGAAAGACTAAAAATAACTTTCTTTCTTCTAACATTGGTATCTCTAATTAGCATACCATTTAAGTAAATTGACCTAATTATTACATTTATTATGAAACCTTTGTTTAACTTACAGAAATCCTTGCCTCATTGGTTGATTAAGCTGGGATGTCAAACACAAGAACTTATGAAGAATACGTGGTGGAATGGATACAGCCGTCATCCACCTCTTGCATCTATGACCAGCAGACAGACTGAGCTTGTCTTAGATATTTCTGAACTCAACCAGAAGGCAAGTTGGGTTACTAGTACAATGCTATTGTAGTGTTAAAATTGTTTTATGTAAAGGAAAAAAACTAAACGTATAATTACCATAGGGAAATATTATTTAGAAAAAATAAGAATACAAATAAAAAATATTTTTAAAGAAAGAAGTGTTTTTTAAAATTTACTTTATGTTCGTTCAATTGCTTTTGAGATTTTTATTTACTTTTGAGATCTTTAATATTTTAACAGTGGGACATGTATCTTATGAATGAACGGGAAACCAATAAGTTCCTCAACATCCCTCTGCCAGATATTTTTAAAGGATTAAAGCCAAACCAGAATACAAAACCAGTGTTGAATCAAATGGTTTCTTATTTAACTGAAGATTTCCTACCTGGTAAGTTAATTAATTTCACTACAAATTTTTCTTCATAAGTTAATATTATTTATTACCTCTGATTGTGTTAATGTATTGCATTATGAAATTTTTTAAAAAGTTAAACAAATTAGACTTATTTGCATCTTTTCAAAACATGGCTTTTAAGATTTTTAAGACAGTGGAAACACATTTCTATGTTTAAATACTTCTAAAATTTCAGCCAGATGTATTATCACTAAACAAATGGTGAGGACATTTGATAAAGTCACATATCCCATACCTTCCAAGTTAAAAAAGTGCAACTTAGTGCTAGCTATGGACTGTGTGGGCAGGGTGTTTGCCATCACCATGGAGACTGCTAACTCTTCCAGTCAAAACAAAGTGAGTTATCTTTATTAAGATTTTTAAAATGTTTATTAAAAAACACTATAATAAAAATGTTTTTTAATGTGTTATTTCTCTGTAAAAAAAAAATCTTGTTAATTTTGTTCCAAAATTTCTGTTTAAAAAAAAAAATTAAAATGTTGATGCTATTTTACTCAGGTAATCAACATTCTGACAGAGGACAAGATGATTGAAGTTGATGCAGGTGACTTGGATGTTGGTGTCAAGGTGGATGGTGAAGTGTTGAATTTAAGAGATTATCAACCCATCACTTATCAGGTGGCTGAGTACAACATGTGAGTAAAAAATTGTTTTGTACTTAATATTTCCATCTTATTCTTTTTGACTAACAGTTTTTTGTATACTTTTAAAAATGATTAAAACAGTTAACTTTGGCAGTATGTGTAGTAAATAAAAGATTTTAAAGATTCAGTAAATACTAGTTGCAGCATATAGGCCTACAGAGAAATAAATTAGACTCCTTACGTGTTCTTTTTTATTTTTCGTTACCTAAATCCACTTTTTATGTTAATTATGCTGGTCCCACCCTTCCCTGAAAAATAATTTGATCCTCTCATAGTTTCCTGCCTTAGTGTAAGAAAGATCAACAGATAATGAATACTCACACTCCTCTCATTTTCAGCAATAGAACAGTTCTGATGATTGAGAAAATGGGATTGAAAATAAAAGTTGACTTACCGATGATTGGAGTTGGACTGGTCGTGGACACAAACCATGTCAAAATATCTGTGAGTTTTGGAAAAAAGATTGATTTTTTTAATGTCAAAATATCCAGAGCTTTTTCTAGGCTGTGGTTTTCATTTGTGTTAAAAATAATTTTTTTTATATATTGAAATTCTTTTTATTTTTCTCAAATATTTATGATTTTTCTCTGAGTCCATAATTTTTTCTCATAGTACTTAAGATCAACATAATTTAAAATAAATATCTATTAACATCACATAACCCAATTAAACAGAATAATTTTTTCAATTATGAAAAGTACTAATTTGATAAGCTTGAAATAACTCTTATTGTCAATCGTGCCAAATTCATACCACATTTTATATACCTAGTATTAATTAACGATTTTTGTTTTGTTCATTGTTTACTAAAGAATGGATAATGAAGAAAAAACAATAATGAAAGTCTATGACACAAAACAAATCTTTTGATCTAGATCTCAGCATTCTTCAAAGAGCAAATGTGTGGACTGTGTGGGAACTTTGACACTCAGATGTCCTTGGAGTATGAGGGACCTGGCCATGAGCTTTATCCCACAGCCAAATCATTTGTGCCTTCTTATGTTCTGCCTGACGCCAACTGCCCAGCCCCGCCCTCTGACTACAGCCCCCAAGTGTAAGCTCTTAATGCTAGATTATTATTACAAAAGATCAAGTTAACCCTTTTGGGCCCTGTAAGTTCTCTACACAAGACATACGTTTTGCTTTTAGGAGAGGTTTTAAAGCTAGATTATTATATCAAAAAGTAAAGTTAACCCTTTTGGACCATACACAAGACATAAGTTTTGTTTTTATAAAAGGTTTTAATGCTCGATTATTATAACAAAAAGTAAAGTTAACCCTTTTGGACCCTTTAAGTTCTCTACACAAGAAGTAAGTTTTGTTTTGAAGAGAGGTAAGTTAACCCTTTTGGACCTGGTGGCCAATAGATAAAGTTCACCTGTTTTGGGATTTTCCAATAGGAAGGGATGGTCTAGTCTGCTAAGCCTGGCTACTTTTTATTTCCACCAATATGAGTAAGGTACCATAAGGACAGAGTAATCTAGCAATCAAATCTGTGAACTGAACTTGAGACTTGCAGGTTAGCAGTAGTGTCCTCTATTACTTGACCATGCTATCCCACAGATTAATACTAAAGATGAGGGTTTAACTTTTTGCTTGCTATTCTGACAGTGTAATAGTAGTTCTGAAGTTGTTTTTTACGGGTTCTTTTGTTTTATTTTTTTATAGACAGATTCACAAATCCAACAAGCACACCATAGTAGACGATAATAAAGAGCCTCCAAAGATGGGCAATGCTGAAACTACATTAAGTAAGAAATTATAAAATACTGGATCATTTATTCATTTAGTTTTCTTGACTACACTTTGCAAAGAAAATTAAGTAGGTATCTTTTTTTCAATTGACCAGATGGTACATTAGAGTGATTAGAGTTAACCTGTTTCACTGACCAAGTGATCAGCTGAATATCCAGCTGGTTTTATTTGACCAGAATTAATTCAGGTGTCTAGTAGAGTTGGGGAATCCTTATAGTAGTAGGACTGTGTAAATCCAGCACAGTGTGTCGTGAGTTCCTTTAGTTCAAGAATTCTTACCATCCATACACCAGCATCTTTAACACTGTGATCCCCTCAATCTTGTCTCTTTTATTTATTTCTTCCATTCACTTGTTCAAAATAATAAGGAAAACTAAGCTGATGCTAGTAGAACTATTTAAATGTATTGTCTTTCTCAATTTGTTACCTACATTTGATTTTAAAATGGGTTTTTGATCTCTTTTCTCAAATTTTAAAAATATTTCTTTGAAACTTCACCTAACTGTTTATTACCTATTGTTTTTACAGATGAGTGTAAATCAACTTATTTAAACCTTGTGAAAAACAGGAAATCATCAAAGCAGACGTGTTTTTCTGAAAAACCAGTTTTGAGATGTTCTGGAAAATGTTCAAAGACTAGAAAACTAATTCCACAGCAGGTATGACATTGCTGAGTTTTTAAAAATTTAAAACAAATTGAGCTATTTTAGTTGAAGTGAGCTAATTATTATTAAAAAAACCCATTAAATAAGCTGCTATTGTAAACTTTGTATTAAATTTTTTCCTCAATGTACAAATTCAGTGAGGAAAAACAAAAGCCAAGTTTAAGTTTGGGTTTGAAATATCATAAGTGATACTAACTATTTATATAGCTATTTGTAGAGGTCATGCTGATTTTCTGTATTTTTTTGCTATCTTAGAATTTTTCTTTTGTACTTTTTCTTTTAAGGATTGTGATAATTTGTTTTTTAACCTGTTCTCACTTTCCGAGATAGTGTTCCTCTGTCTACCTTCCAATGACCCTAACATAAAACATTACAAAACCTTTTTTCACTTTCCCAGATAGTGTTCATCTGTCTACCTTCCAATGACCCTAACATAAAACATTCTCTCTTTCTCAGATAGTGTTCCTCTGTCTACCTTCCAATGACCCTAACATAAAACATTACAAAATCTGTTCTCTCTTTCTCAGATAGTGTTCCTCTGTCTACCTTCCAATGACCCTAACATAAAACATTACAAGATGGAAGCTGCTCATGGAGTTTTTAACCTACCAAGGAAGGTAACTCCTGCTGACAAGATAGTGAGATATAACTGGGTGCCTGAGGTCTGCAGTCCTGACCTCCCCCTGTCTGTTGTCTACAATGGTACAGCCAAGTACTTCAAGTAACATGAGCACAGACAATGTATGTTTTAAAGGCTCTGAGCACACACATCTATATAATTTATTTGGTGATGACATTTTAAAACTAGATTTTTTGTGTGTAAATATACTAAGATTATTTATTTTAAAAATACTCTTTAAATATCACATTTTCTTATTACAACACATGTATAATACAGAATTTTATAAGAAACATGACTGTACCATAATTTATTGATCAGTATTTTTGTAAATTGCTTTCCTCTGTTTTTGGACCTTTTATAAATCGCTTTTTTTAAAATATCATTTGATTTTAACTCCTTAAGCAAGTTATGTTTGGACCTTTTATAAATCGCTTTTTAAAAAAATATCATTTGATTTTAACTCCTTAAGCAAGTTATGTCCCTTTGTCTCCTTTGCCAAAATGACCCAAACTAAAAAATATTTTCGGGATCTCTAAAAGTTGCACTTTATTCAAGAGCTAAATTGTTATAAACTGTCCATTTGGTTGAGTCGTAAGCAGTGTTACAATAAATTGCTGAATGGACTAATTGACTGACTATTTATTAAAAAAGTTTCATATTATTAATCCAACTTTTAAAATATGTTGTTTCTAGTATTTAAAAAATAATCTTTGTATTTTACCGTATTGAATAATTTTAAATGAACTAAAATGACAAACTTTTATTTTATGTAGATATATATTCTTGTAATGTATTAAAATTGTATGTATCCTTGCAAGCCAAATGTTCAACACATATCAAGTTTTACCCTCTGTTTGTAAACAGTTTTAATATACCAAATTGATTTTTTGTATTCTTTTCTTAGAATGCAGATAACTGTCTAAAATAAATAACACTATTGCAACCGTATCTTGGTGGCTTTTCTTACAGTTGTGTCAAAGTTTCTGATATTTCTCTAGGATATTGTCCTCTGTGTTGTGTTAGTATTGCTGGTTTGACAGAACTGCTACAGTAACATCACTTGGGACTGAATGGCTGTTTAAAACTGAGGAAATACAAACTTAATTGCATCAGCAGCATACTTTGAGGGCAGCTACAATTACCTTGGACTACTGGTGAGACACTTAAGGACAGCCACAATGACCTAACTGAGAACAGCCACAGTGACCTGCCTGTGGACAGCCACAATCAACTGCCTGTGGACAGCCACAGTGACCTGCCTGTGGACAGCCACAATGAACTGCCTGTGGACAGCCACAATGACCTAACTGAGAACAGCCACAGTGACCTGCCTGTGGACAGCCACAATGAACTGCCTGTGGACAGCCACAATCAACTGCCTGTGGACAGCCACAGTGACCTGCCTGTGGACAGCCACAATGAACTGCCTGTGGACAGCCACAATGACCTAACTGAGAACAGCCACAGTGACCTGCCTGTGGACAGCCACAATGAACTGCCTGTGGACAGCCACAGTGACCTGACTGTGGACAGCCACAATGAACTGCCTGTGGACAGCCACAATCAACTGCCTGTGGACAGCCACAATGAACTGCCTGTGGACAGCCACAATGACCTAACTGAGAACAGCCACAGTGACCTGCCTGTGGACAGCCACAATGAACTGCCTGTGGACAGCCACAATCAACTGCCTGTGGACAGCCACAGTGACCTGACTGTGGACAGCCACAGTGACCTGCCTGTGGACAGCCACAGTGACCTGCCTGTGGACAGCCACAATGACATACTTGCTTACACTATAAGACAATCTTTAAGAACACCTGAGCTACATTTCTTCGTTGAAGACAGTAAGGAAAACCTAATGAGAACATAGTTACAGTAACTACATTGATGAGTAACGGTGACGCCTATAGGAAGTATAAACGGCTGGGCGTAGTGCTGACCACAGTATCCCTTCATGTGCCGAGGTAACTTGAACATGTCAACTTTACTTTACCAACTCCATGGACCGTCAGGCTAGAAAAGGTATTCATATTTACAAGGGGAGGTAGTGACCTGTTACTAAGCTCTTTCTGTTGATACGAATACGATTTGAGACAGCAGTTTTAATATTATGTGGTTATGACCAGTGTTTCTTCCAGACTTTTTATTCCGGGGACACTTGAAATTTTCGGGGGGGGGGGGGGCGGACGCTCTAAAAAGTATATATTTTCTACATTTCGTTCGGGGGGGGGGGGGGGGGGCGGTAGACTTTCTTCGAAGAGATGCCTGGAAGAAATTCTGGGTATGACCTGGACCGATAGGTCTGGTATATAGATAGTGAATATCTTTTAAGACAATTAGGTATACATGTAGGCTAATGCCGTTACTGTTGTAGTGCTGTACAGTTTTGTTTAATTTTTCACTCGTAAATTCAGTTTCTCCCGAAACTTCTTACACTGCTAAAGCAAACAAATTCCTACTTGAACTGTTTTCTTGCTGTCAGCGATCTGTTGCTCTAATCCCTTCAAACAATACCAGCCGTCAGAGGGCGTTGTTGGGGATGGATCAAAGCGAGGCTATGTAAATCGTTGGAGATTGTGATTTTTAGGACAACAACATGCTTGATGCAGCAACATATTGTAGGCTGACATTGATCTTTATGGGATAGCCAAGACCGCCCACTGCTTCTCAAACAGATCATATACTACCTTCTTTCTGTCTGTGTATCGGAAGGCGAGGCCTAATCGGTAGAGCGCTAGACTGCTAACCCGAAATTCGCGAGTTCGAATCCGGGTCCAAGTCAATAGAATGTCCCTGAGTCCAGCCAGCTCTGATGGGTACCCAACTCATGTTATGGAAAGTAAAGGCGGTTGGGTAATGTGCTGACCTTCCCTTCATATACCGTGGTCAAGAAACATATGAACTCTACTTCATCTGCCCAATGGATAGCTAGGTTCTAAAGAGGATTATTTATTTTAACTTTATATTTGTGTTTATCTAGTGTAAGATATACATAAAATATATCTGTGTATAGGATTCGTTTTTCTCGTATTCGATAGTTCCGGTGACGTATAGATTCTGGTCAGTGCTTGGGCTAAATAAAAGTTTAAGATGTTAATGTCGTTTTGGCGTCCAGTGATCTCTAACACCCCCCCCCCCCCATCTCCCAGCCCACATCCACAAATCTGGATGGTAGGTCAATACATCAAATTAAAAAAATATATATTACTAAAAAGGGTAACTGCAGTGAGGTGCAAATAGTAATAAACACAGTAGTGTTAGTATCCACACAAAGGACAATTACAAGTACAATGAACGTTTCGACCCAAGGTCCTCGTTAGCACACAACAGTGTGGTTACAAGCTGGACAACAGTCACACAATTTAGGACTTAGCTCGACAATGAAAACACGTCGTACTCAAATAAAAATGACGTTTCAATCAGTGGCGTAGCTACCGTAAAGCTAGCGTAAGCAAGGCATAGGGGCCCAAGGCAAATAGGGGCCCTTTTCGAAAGTTTGAAGGGGGGGGGGTGCAAATCGAAAGTTATTCCCCGGTCGCCGGGAACGGTCGCTACGCCTCTGAGGGGCCCACTAACACTTTTTGCATAGGGGCCCAAAAATCCTAGCTACGCCACTGGTTTCAATACAAATTCTGCCACATAAACCCTACAGTTATAAAAACTGACAAATCATCAACACTGTGGAGTTTCTCTATAATTTTAGAACACATTCAACTGAAAAAAAAAGTTCGAAGTAGCCTCCTTGTTGTTTTTTTAAACCCATTATCCTGCAATCAATATGGTCGTCTGTAGCCAAAAGCTGACTTTACATGACGTCAGCTTTTCATCAAAGAAAAACGAAATATTTTTTTTTTTATAATGCGGATTAAGAATTGTTACTGGTAAGTCAAATTGACATGCGGTTTTACAGTGTAAGCCTAAAACACCCACACGCAGTGATAAACCTGAATGCATTCTGCACAGTTGAATTAATACAAGTTTAATCTTTAACAACTAAAAATTATGGTTGTTTTTTTAGACTAATTAGACCTATATCTTTTAAGAAATCCTAGCTATTGGATTAAAAAATAAAAGCTGCGAAATCCAGCTTGATAAGGATAAAGAGACCAATATTCTATTATAAAATCTCAATTTAGTTTCAGCTAGACTGCACTTGTGTTGCATTGAAAATTACGTAAGCCTCACGGTACGAATGTCCCACCAGAGTTTCTTCCAGGCATCTCTTCGGGGGGGGGGGGGCTTAGCCCCCCCGAAAAAAGTCTACCGCCCCCCCCCGAACGAAATGGAATTTATATAGGAAATATATACATTTAACAATGTCCGCCCCCCCCCCCCCGAAAAAAGTCTATCGCCCCCCCCCCCCCCGAAAATTTCAAGTGGCCACCCCCCCCCCCCTGGAAGAAACACTGTGTCCCACTTTACGAACACCCTGCCATCATATGTGCTGTGTAACGAACACACGCTCGTATAAAAAGCACATACCTGGGTCTAAGAAAAACGATTCTGTCGGCATCTTTTCATAAGCTTAACCTACATTAACCTCATGACCTGAGTAGATGATTGTCCCTCCGCGACCAGCTTGTAGAAGAAAGTAGAAGAGGCAAAGGTCGTTGAGCTCACGTGGGCGAAGATAAGGAGAGCTGCCCAAACACCGAATCCGGCGGAAAGATATGAATGTAGCCGTTTGCTCCCCAGGGGCCACAAAAGAATACGTCAAATAAGTCAACATTAAGAATAAACTATGAGATATTTCCTCTATCTTTAAACATTTTTTCTTAGAGGAACACTCTTTCAAACATTGATATACACGTAGCTATGGCGAGTCGAATTACAAATCTAAAAAAATATGGCGTCCGAATCAGGTCACTGTTTACATTTTTGTCAATACATTCTGTGCGTACGTCACAAACATCACTGTAAGACGGAGTTGAACGTCAAAGAAGAAGCGATGCAGATTATTTTAAAGATACTAATCCAATGATCGATATCTTCTTTTTTTTTTCTTTCAGGACAAAATTTTGTTATATTGCTTGATTACTAGCTACTCCTTTGTATCAGACACGCCTTTTTAATCCTCATTCGGAATTTATTAGGTTGACCTTTAAATAAAAAAAAAAACAACAACTCACCAATAAAGAAAAACAATATTTATAAAACGTTTAATGCAGTAGGCCTATATTAAAAAAAAAACTCAACGCACTGACATTAAAAAATAACAATAGAAATAAATACATTCTGTCCAGTATCCATTTCAAATAAACGACAAAACAACGCAGCTTCAGAATATATTAGTAAAAACAAAATCGAAGATGAAATTTTAATCCGTGAAGACCAAGCCTTTCATACTGAGGAGTTAATCGATGAAACTGATCCCCCCTGTATAAACTCTATCACTTTTACACGCTGATGAATTGCACCAGATTTCAGGGATTAAATTCTTTTGACCATCTATATAAGCTTTAGCGAAAAACGCAACCCGATTTGCGAGCCCTTAAACATTGCTTTCAAACCAGAAATTTTCTCGCTAGCGATTAAAAACCTATAGAGTGTATTTTGAAAAGAAAAAGAAATGACGCTGTTTGGTGTGCTGGTCCTTGCGACTGTGGTTGCGGTGGCCAATGGTGCCGTGTCTATTGCCCAAGGTGAGACCTCATCGTTTTGGTTCAGTGTATTTAGCTTTAAACGGGTTCGCGATAAGGGTTGGGTTGTGCCCAGCTCCAGTTTTAGGCTGTTATGCTTTGAGCCACGCGTTCTTACTTAGGGTTTCTTTAAGGCATTTTTTTTCTCCGATGAAAGGGGGAGGGGGCGGACAATAGTTAAAGTATTTATATAAATTATATAAATTATACATGTTTTTTATTTCGTCTGGAGGGAAGGCATTGGTGGGTTCGGGGTGGGGAGGGTAGAGGGTGGTCAGTGCCAGAACAATGGGAGACCTCATAAAGAAACGCTGCCAGTCATCATCGTATGAAAAACATAAATTTTAGTTGCTTCAAAGCACATGGCTGAGAAGGAAAGTGTTATATATGGATGAAATTGTCGAAACAAGTTTTTAAGGACATTTTTGTTTTTAAAATGATAGCAAGAACGTACTAAAGAATGGTTGGTGAGTAAGGGAATCCATTGTGTTTATGCTGTACTTTAACAATACTGCCTTAAATTATTAAAAAGAAATACTTTTGCGGATACTCCGCAGTTCATTTGCCGATATAGATGGGTTTTTTTTTTTTACACCTTATCGCCATTTGTGAAGGGAAAATAGTCGGGTTTAAATAAGAGAGACGAAAAAAAAAATTGCAAGTTTTTTTTTTTTAGTTTAACTTCAATACGTCAATTACCGTGCCATGTTGTTATGTAGGCAAGATATCTATAACGCTGGGAAGTAACTACTAGCTACCAGCAGATCGCTGGACTCTGTCCAAACTAAGTGCTTGCGAATGGTTAAAAGCATACCTTCTCAAATGATAGACTACAAGGCAAAAAGGAAAATGGAAGTGGTTTCAGAAATGATTGAAAAAAGAAGATGGCGCTAGACGGGACACGTCTTAAGAATAAATCCATAAGACATCGCAGGAGTGTTGCTAAACTGGACACCTCAAGGAAAAAGAAAGCAGGGAAGGCCAAGGGAGACATGGAGGTGCACGGTGGGGCTGTCAGAGGTAGGACTGTTTTGGGGACTGCCAGGAATATTTCCGGAGACTGACTGGTGAGAGCTTTCTGTAGCGGATCCATGTGTTATGAGCAAAAAAAAATTAAAAAAGAAAACATTATGAAGAGATCTATAAAGGACAAATATTTAAGCCTTAAATATTAGAACTGTTTTTGAATTTATAAAATGTATTTATAGATGCGTTTTACGTTTGATATTTTCATTTCGACTGAATTTTTAATTTTTCTTCCCTGTGCATTTCAAACTTCGAAACATACGCACAATTTATCCGTCTGTACATAATTATGTGTATTACATTTAGTAGCAGCGTTAGAGACATTGGTTTGTTGGAAAATTGCTTTGCTGGGTAGAGGGGGGTGGAGGGTGTATGTGCGGTTGTAGGTGGGGAGCTATATTGAGAAAGGGTCAAGGTTTGGGGAAGAATCCGGCACATGGATTGATTACTGATTTACGATAAGCTACGTACTTTAATCTGTTGGAAGAGGGGTGTGTGTGTGTATGTGTGTGTGTGTGTGTGTGTGTGCAAATAGGCTAAAATCGAATGGCGCTTTTAATAAACGATCCCTCTGTCCTTTTTGATTCGTTATGATTTTCTGAATCCATTACATCGGTATCAATCAGTATCATGATAAATTAATTGTTATATTTTGGGTTGAGATTAAAGCTCAGGCATGAAGGCAAGAATTGTGTGTACATTAAGATAAACCAACAGTTTCAAAGGATGTTTGATCTTTTTGGTAAATAGTCTCACATTTTGGTATCTAGTCTGACGTTTTAGTATAATGTGAGACGTTTTAGTAAATTGCGTGACGTTTTTTATAATGTGTGGCGTTGTGGTATAAAGTGTGAAATTTTGGTGTAATGTGTGACGGTTTAGTATATGAAGGGCTCAGTGGAAAAAGTACTTACGTGTATTTTGAGAGTTTTGAGAAAAATGAGTGCAAAGTTTTAAAATTGTTATTGAAATACCAAAACAGCTGATGCAGAGTATTTAAATTAAGCTACTTCGGTACTTTTTCCATGGCCCAAATTTGCAGGGATGGTTAAGGGTAGGTAATCAAATGATATACCGGTCTTAACTCATTTTTGACAAAATGTAACTTAAGTACTTTTTCCACTGAGCCCTTCATATTGTGTGACGGTTTAGTATATTGTGTGACGTTTTGGTATATTGTAAACGTCTTGGTATATAGAGTGACGTTTTGGTATTTACTCTGTCGTCTCAACTTATAATCTGACGTTTTGGTACATACTCTTACCTTTTGGTATTTAGTGTGACGTTTTGGTATATAGTCTGACGTCTTTGTATATAGTTTGACGATTTGGTATTATATATGACGTTTTTGTATTTAGTGTGACGTTTTGGTATTTTCTGTGAGATTTAGGGATATTGTGTAACGATTTTAAAAATATTTTTACGTTTTAGTATATTGTATGACGTTTTAATGTAGCCGACACCACATATGATTTAAAAAATATTTGCTTTATCCCGATCAGGTGTTTGCGATTTTTAAAATGCAATTATCTGCCTCCTTTTAGTCGCAGTCGACGCTCAAGTAAAAAAAAAATCAACTAGCCTTTAAAAAATAGTTCACCGTCCTCTGATATCTTGTTATCTCCCCAGTTATTATTGAACTTAGTAATCTTTTAAATATATTTTAATGACTAATCTAATGTCCAATTAGATTAAAGATTAGATATTCTTGCATTGTAATTGGAGATGAGCGTATCTAGAAAGTTTGAACGAAATCGCAGTAATTAGAAGTGGGTCAAATTTAAGTAACAAGATTTGCCACAACC